TATCAGAGAACTAATAGAATAAAACCTGAAAACTGAACAGAAAGGATTGAGAAACAGAACAGGGTACACACGAGAATAACCATGTTCTCTCATGTCTGCTTGAATTGAGATTCTCAGATTGCAAATGAGTTCCATGCTCATTTTCTCATCAAATCCTCCTTCCATGCCTGAGGAGTAGCTGGGTATTAGAGCCATTTTATAGGTTTGGAAACTAGGGCTTAAGAAAGGTAGGAAATTGACTTTGTGTCACCACTGTATCTCTAATAGCAAACATAGTCCTAGCACAGAGTAGAGCCTTAATAAGTACTGGCAGGTGAATGGTATTTGCTGTTTTGTTCCTGAAAACAGCAGGCATGCTAGGTCCTGTGCCATGGGAGGAACAGAGATAGTCAGATGAAGTCCTTAAACACAAGGAACTCAGAGCCCATCGTATTAAGTTATGTATAAATTTCTCCACCTGAAGCACTGACTCTTCCTCAAGGACAGATGTTGTGGGAAGCAACCCAAACCCACTACAAAAGCAAATCACCATTGTAATAAATCACTAAGGTTTGGGGGAGGTATGTTAGGTAGCATAGTTTACCTAATATACTGTGATTCTCAAACTTGACTGAAAATAAAAATCACCAGAGGTAATTCCTAAAAATCAAGATTCCTGGGTTCTAGACCAGATCTACTGAGTCACGATGGCCAGGGAAAAGACAGGGTAATCTGTATATTTAGTAGATTTTCCCTTCAGCTTCAGGAGGGAAAATCTCCAGCAGTTAAACTTTGAAGGATATAAAAGCAAAGGAGGTCTCCAGGGACAAGAACAAGAGGAAAGGCACAGAGATGGGAAAGTGCAGGAAATGACTTGAGACTGGATTCAGAGGGTGCATGAGAAATGGTAGCATGTGCAAAAGTAAGCAAGGGGAGCCAGGAGTGTTTCCAGCCGAGGCTGCCAGGTTACACTGATGCTCTAGAAAAGCCATTCCAGTGGGGAACCGCAAAGAAACTGATGCATGATCCAGACTCATTTCACAGATTATTTGGTAGACTGATCACGGATGTGATGAGCTCAAAATCACTGGGAGTATAGCTCAGTGGTACAGCACTTGCCTAGCATGTTCAAGGCTTTGGATTCAATCCCAACAAAACAAACAAACCAACAAAAAACAGCATTAAAATCACTGGACAGTTGTTGGTGGCTCATACCTGTAATCCTAGTTCCTCAGGAGACAGAGATCAGGAGGATCACAGTTTGAGGCCAGCCCAGGACAAATAGTTCATGAAACCCTATCTGGAAAATACCCAACACAAAAAAGGGCTGGTGGAGTAGCTCAAGTGGTAGAGTATCTGCCTAGCAAGTGTGGGGCCTGAGTTCAAACCGGACAATAAGAGGAATTACCGTGGTTATTGTATTAGTTGTGCCTACATCCATCTTTAAAGCTGTAGTCTGATTTAAGTTGTGCACTGTTCACTCATTCATTTACCAAATCCTGAGTACCTACCATGTGCCAGAGGCTGCAGTGCCACTGGAAAATTAGGAATGAACAAAGCAGACAAAATTTGCTACCTTTTTGGTGTTTATTTTTCTTTGTCTTTATGCTTGGGTAAAGGTGTGAGGCAGAATGTCATCCATACATACATTCAGATTTCTAGTAAGCATCTTCTTTGTGCCCGACTTTTTGTTGGTGCAGGGGAGAAGCAGACAACAGCCAGGCCCAGGCCCAGGCCCTGGGAAGCAGGCTTAGTCCACACCTCATGACAGTGTCTGCGTGGACTGCTGTCAGAGGTTGGAACTGGACGGTGAAGAATGAGAAATCTAACTATCAAAGAAAGGGGGCTCAGGGCTGGAGGGGTGGCTCAAGTGTTAGAGCACCCACCTAACAAGTGCAAAACCCTGAGTTCAAACCCTAGTAATGTTAAAAAAAAAAAAAAAAAAGAAAGGGCTTAAAAGCCAATCATACACACATCTGTAATCCTAGCACTCCACAGGCTGAGGCAGGAGGCTCTTGAGTTCAAGGCAGCCTGGGCTGCACATCAAATTCTAGGTCTGCCTGCACTACACAGTGAGACCTTATTAAAAGAAAAGAAAACAAAACAAAACAGAACTGGAGCAGTAGAGTGCCTGCCTCACAAGCACAAAGCCCTGAGTTAAAACTCCAGTACTAAAAAAACAAAAACAAAAGCTAGGTATGGTATCACAAACCTATAATCCCAGATACTCAAGAGGCAAAGGCAGGAGAGGGCAGACTGGGAAAAAGGGAGCAAGACCTTGTCTCAAAAGCAAAATAAAAACAAAAGAGCTGGGGGGAGTACCTCAAGCACTTGCCTAACATGTGTGGGCCCTGGGTTCAATCCCCAGTAAGGAGGGAGAGAAAGAGAAAGGGAGGGAGGGAGGGAGGGATAGGAAGGGGCTTGGAGTGAGGCTCAAGTGGTAGAGCACCTGCTTGGAAAAGAAGAAGAAGGAACTCTAAAGTATTCCAGGTAAAGCAAACACACAGCGAGAGACACAGAAGTGCTTGGAGTCCATGATTCCTTGATGTGATGAAGGCTAGGGGTCCAGGCATAGGATGGAAGTGGTGAGACAAAGGAGATGATGATGGTGAGATTCAAGTGCCAGTGATGGCTCTTTAGGTAACCAGGGAGGGGGTGTTGGGAGGTCTTGGTGCAGGAGATTATCACATTGGTTTTGGGGACAATCACAAGAGGGGTCAGGGAGGAAGAGGGACAAGAAGGAAAGAGGCTTCAAGTGGGAGGAAGCCCAGACTGAATGGAAAATGAGGGGACAGAGAAGACCCAGGAAACAGCTCTGAATGTGGCAGCTGAGAAAGGAGCTAAAACTGTGGTTGTACAAAAATGGGTTTTACAGTGCAATGCTGCAAATGGGCCATGAGAGGCGGCTCACACCTATAATTCTAGCTACTCCAGAAGATTGGGGATTTGAGACACAAGACCCTATCTTAACCAATAAAAAGCTGGGCATGGTGGTATACATCTGTGATCCCAGCTACTCCAAAAGAGTTAAATAGGAGGATCACAGTTCAAGCCAGCCCAGGCAAAAATGCAAGACCCTATTTGAAAATGAAATAAAAAAGGCTGGGAGCATGGCTCAAATTGTAGAGCACCTGCCTAGCAAGCACAAGGATCTGAGTTCAAACCTCAGTACCTGGAAAAAAAACAGCTGCAAATAAAAGTACTACCTTGTGAGCTTGGGTGCATCCCTTAGCCATGTGAGGCCTCAGTTTGCTGATCTGTACATTTAGGATAACAGCAGCAGCTGCAGTGAGGTGAGGAGGTTTTAGAAGGTGACAATGTAGTGAGTGGGACACAGTGGGTGCTCAGATATGGTAGCATCATTATACTGAGAGAAAGTCAAGGACAGCCTTTTGTCTGAGTTGAGTGACTGGGTGGATGGAGATGCCGCATCTGATGGAAAACAGAAAAAGGAGCGTTTCAGGGAAGGACAAGGCCACTACCATGTCTGGTGTTCCCACATCAGAGTCCTGGCCTCGCTCACTGTGGTTATGGATCTACTCACATCGCTGCTAGCATGTTTTGTCTTGGTGTCCAGCTTGAACACACAGTAGGGCATTTTTTTTTTTTTTGGAGGAGAAGGATCTGTTCGAAGGTGAAGGTGTGTAGGTGCAGAAAGGTGTGTGTAAAGAAAGAAAGGGGCTTGAGGGTGAAGGGTTTCAGGAGACCGGAGGAGACTGGGAACAAGACTCAGAGGCTGGGCATGGGGACCACAGGCAGGGAGCCAAAGAGGGGAGGGCGTCCACAACAGAGTTCGTCAAGGCCCAGGGATGCCGAAGGTCGTGGAGGATCAGGTCTGATGCTTGACTGATGGATTTGGTATCTAGGATGCCAAAGGGTACTTGGCAAAAGCAAGGTCAAAACTGGTGTCATTGGGGAACAGAGGCCTCTGGGAGTGTGGGGAGAGAACTGATGTGATGTTTAGATGAGCAGATGCAGAGGGGAAAACTGGCATGACCCAGCATAAGGTACAGGTAACTTGGACCCTCCAGATACTACATTTCCCTTCCCAATAAGAACAAAATGTCTCTTCGTCTTTTTTGAGATGCTGGGACTGGAACCCAGGGTCCCCCGGGGCATGCTAGGTAAGCGCTCTACCAATGAGTCACATCTGAGCCCAGGACACATTTCATCCTTAACAATCAGAGCCATCTGAAGATGGAGCAGTGGGGTAGTGAGCACCCTGTCTCTGGAAGTGGACAAGCAGAGTTCTGAGATCCGCCACTGCCTGTAGCTCACAGGTAGGGTGGGGAAGGGTGTGCAAAATAAGCCCTTCATCCTTCCTTCCTGGCAAGCGCTGGGTTGATTCCTTGCATCAAAAAAGTCACACTGAGGGTCAGCCTTGCTATTTCTAGTGTCCAAAGAGCCTCCTGCAGAGACACACTGGTACTCAGAAGTGGTCCTGCGCAGGCTCACAGACACAGAGACACAGCACATAAAATCTATGTATGTTCCCTGGCGTAAAGAATCCACATCACCTCTTGCCGGCTTACTCCCTCAGTTCATCCCCTCGGCCCCTCTTTCTGCCTGTCCACCCAGTCCCAGGCCGCCCAGCATCTGTGGCTGCCTCTGCATCTGCTGTCTCTCTGCATCTCTCCAGCTTCTCTGGCTCTGTCCACCCCCACCCCCACCCCCTCCAGACCTCTCCAGCCCCCTCCCGGTGGGCCCCCTCCCCGGACTACAACCCCCAGGCGCCCCCAGCCCGGGGCGCTGCGCATGCCCCTGCTCCCCGCCCCCTCCCGCTCCCCCCTCCTCCTCACCTCCCTCCGCCCCCTCCCCCGCGCTCCGGCTCCCGCATCCCTCCATCCAGCCCTGTGCCGCAGCCGCATCGCCACCGCAGCCAAGGCAGAGTCGAGTGGCCCAGGCCCCTGCCCGTGCACGGCCCTCGGCCCGCCGCCTCGGCTGTGCCCTTGCTGCAGCCCCCTCGGCGCCCCCGGCGCCCCTAGACCCCGGCTTCCAGCACCGAGGTGGGAGGCAGAGAGCAGCAGCAGAGGCAGGAGGACGAGGAGGAGGAGGAGCCGTCGCAGGATGAAGGATCGGACTCAGGAGCTGCGGAGTGTGAGCCTGGGGTGGGGGAGATGGGGGGGCGGGACCCCAGTATTTGGGGAGCGCGTGGGGACCGGGTGTGGGGATTGCGGGGACGTGGGGGTGAATGACCAGATGGGGTTGGGAGCTGGGGCACCCCAATATCTCGAGGCACCTGATGTCTCCAGTGAACCTGCATTTTGGGGCAGTGACTGGAAGGGGTTGGAGGCCATTAAGACTGAAGGGGGCGGGAGAGGTCTCAGGGCCTGGACACCCCACGTTTCCAGGAGGGCCCTGGGATCTAACCTGGGGATCGGGAGAGTGAATGTCAAGGCAGGGTCGGGGGTACCATCACCCCCAGAACAGATTTTTCCAAATTAGAAGGATGGAGATGGTTACTGGGCCAGGCTGAGAGTCCAGCAGGACCCAGATCTGGGGGGAATGCTATGGGGAAGGACACAGGTTGGGACTAGATGCCAACACCTGGCAGTGAATGAAGTGTGTGTGTGTGTGTGTGTGTGTGTGTGTGTGTGTAGGGAGGGAAGGGGTGGCCTCAGGAGACAGCCAGAGGGACAGGGCTCTGGGACAGGGTGACCCCAGAGGTGAGGAAGGAGAGGAGGTTCCGTGTACTGGACCAGGGAATGGGGTTGTGAGACATAGGCCACCTCTGCTCAGAGAAGTGGGGCAGCCAGGGGCAGGCTACTGTGGCCCAGGTCTGAGGCCTGAGGAGGCCCAGCTTTCAGACTTGGCCAGGCCAGTTGTGTATGGGAGCCAGGCAAAGGCAGTCCCATGGCTGACTGTCGGGGAAGCTGCTCTGTGGATGGGCTGGAGAATGAGGCCAGATGAGAGTGGTTTCAGGGGCAGGAAGGATGCTGGGGCATTTGTAGAAATGACCTGGGGCCCAAGGAGGCAGAGGTGGCAGCCTGCAGTGTGACAGTGGCCTGTGGTGTTATGTTAATACAAGAACTAGCCCTGGCCAGTGGCCACTGTGACCTAGTGCAGAGATTGTACCAGGAGCCTGTGGGTTGTTACCAAGAGGTTGCTACTCCATTTGACAGATAAGGGAACTGAGGTTCAGAGATGAGAAGGGACTTGTCCAAGGTCATCAAGCAAGTTTGTGTGGGGGTGGGTCACACGGGATCTGGGTTTCTCATCTGCCAAGTTGACAGGGTTTCCGCTTTTCTGGCCTTTGGAACAGAAGTCTCATGACTGGGGTAAAGAACTCTGTGTTTGGAGAGCCCCTGTATTTGGGGGTGGGAACCTTGATCTCTGAGAGACACAGGGAAGGGAGTTGGAGGCAAATGACTGCTGTCTCTGGGGAGAGACAGGTTGGCAGGTGGGAAGAAAGGAGGAGCTGGCAGTTCAAGGAGAGAATTTGAAGGTTTATTTCTTTATTAAACTTTTACTGCAGGAGGAAAATTATAAGAATGGCAATCACCAACACTGTTTGGAGTGTTTTATACATATTAAATAATTTTGATCTTCACAGCAACGTCAGGAGGCTGGTACTAGTATGACCTCATCTTATAGATAAGGAAACAGAGGCCCACTGTAGTCACAGAGCTAGAAAAAGGCAGGACTTGAACCCAGACAGGCTGGCTTTAGTATCCACTCCCTTCCCTCCTGGTGCAGTTTACAAAGCAGGTTGCCATCATATCTCATTAAATATCCACCAACCTCCTGGTGAGGCAGGTGAAGCTGCCTCATTTTGTATTTGAGGACACTGAGGCCCAGAGGGATTAAAAACTTGTCCAAGGTCACACAGCTAGCAAGGGTGGAAATTAAATTTGAATCCAGAACCCCTGCAACCAAGACCATTCCAAGACTCCTAAACCCAGAGAAGTGACAAGTGGGCAGGGATGGATGGTGGTAGAATTGTGATATAATTAGAGGGGGAGGGAGAAGGAGGCGGGATCGGGAGCCAGTCAGGGCTCCCCTGTCCAGAGGTGAGGAAATCTGCTGGCTGGGGTTGCTGGGGCAGCCAGGTGGGGGAGGCTCGGTGTGGGGGATGAGGGAGCTGGATAAGTGTAGATGGCTTTGCTGTTAGTCATGGCTTAGGGAAAACTGGGGATTTGGGAGGGGGTGGGCGGGCAGGGCGGAAAGAAGCTGCCAGATGCAAGGAGTGTGAGGGTCTTTCTGCCAGAGCAGAGAGCCAGGCAGTGGGAGGCAGGAGAGACTGGGTGTGGTGGGGACAGGGGAAGGGGTCTCTGAGAAGCTGGAAGTAACAAGTGTGGGAGGGAATGTCAACCCCAAGGAGGGGGAGGGGTTGCTGATCATCTTTTCTGTAGTCTCTAGCAATCAGGGGCTCTCTAGTCTGTTTATCATATAGTGGTTAAGGGCACAGGTGGGAGCCATACTGTCTAGGTTCTTATCCTAACTTTGTTACTCCTGTGTGACCTTGGGCACGTTGCTTAACCTGTTTGGTTCTTCGTTTTTTGAGGGGTGGTAGTGGTGCTGGGGATCGAACCCAGGGCTTTGCACATGCCAGGCAGGCGCCCTACCACTGAGCTGCCTCCCCAGCCCCTCAGTTTCTTCATGTGTGAATTGGGATTAATAATAGATCCTGCTTCCCAGGTTTGTTCTGGGGATTAAAAGTAGTTAACGTGCCTAGGAGGAGTCTCGCCTAGCGGTTGCTCTGTGGTTGCTATTCTGCACATGACTTGTGTATTTCTCCTGAGCATCATATAAGCCCCCTGAGATGGGCAGGGCTGGACCTCTAATTATTTTGGAGTTAACTGAGGGCTGAAGAAAAAAACCTGACTTGCCCAAGGTCACACAGCTTTCCATGGCAGATTTAGGGTTGGACCAGATTTTTTGTCTCAAATTCACCAAGTATCTTTGGTTAGGACCTGGGAGGAATCATGGAGCCTAGGTGGGAAGGGTCTCAAGCTGATGAATAGGTGTTCTGCGGTCCCAAGAAGGAACCAGGGTGCGAGAGGAGAAGGAAGAAGTGACTAAGGGTGAGCAGAAGGGTGGGGAAGAGAAGACGGGGACACATTGTAGGGACATGAAGTGGGAGGGCAAGAGTGGGGAAGTGGGGAGACTGGGAAGAGAGATGAAAAGGGCAGAAGGGAGGAAAGGAAGGCCTGGCGTGAGGAGGCTGGAATTTGAGGCTGAACAGTGACCTGTGTGTAAGAGGAGGCAGAGGCTAAGAGAACCTGCGTGATGGATTCATAGCCACCACCTGCAGCAGACTTCTTTCTGCCTTTCACACACACCCGTCACATCTAATACTCTGCATTTCTTTCCTCTGTCTGCAATGCTATTCCCTCTGTTCAGAATGCTGTTCCCTCTGGCTCCAGTTTCTTCACATTATAGCATAGTTGGTCCTTTCAGTGCTCAGCTCATATATCACCTCCCCAGAAAGCCCATCCCTGCCCACCCTGTATAAAGACTTCCCCATACCTGGTTCTGCCACCTCCTTCTGGTTTCCCCCTCCTGTTCTTTAGAACAATCAGAAATTACCTGGTTTGTTGTCATTGTCTCACTGAAACATCGGCTCTTGAGCCCGCTGTATCCCTGAAGCACCCAGAAGCCAACTTGGCACAAATCACATGTTTGTTAACTGAATGAATGAATCTGGGAGGTGGAGGGAGGATGAGGAAAAGAAGAGGTGGTCCAGGCAGGGCTGGTGGAGGAGGGAGGTCTGAGGACAGAGCTAGGCTGGACCATGGGAGGGAGAAGGAGGAGAGGCCTAGGCCAGGGAGACAGATGGACAGAGTGGGAGGGGTGCGGGCAGAGCGGCTGCTGCCTCTAGATCAAACGATGCTGTACCCCTGAGGAGCGTGGGTGAGCCGTGTGTGTGTGTGTGTGTGTGTGTGTGCACGAGTGTGTTTACTCTCTCTCTCTCTCTCTCTCTCTCTCTCTCTCCCTGCCACCCAATTCAGTCTCTTTCCACCTCTGTGTTTCTCTTGCCCCTCACCATGTGTCTCTTTGGTCACTGACTTTCTGGCCCACACTGTCGCTCTCCTCTTCCATTTATGTAGTGTCCTTGTTTCCCCCATCCACATGCATACACAAGGCCCCTGGTGTCTGTGATGTGGAAGACCTAGACTCTGAGGGCTCTGAGGAGGCCTCACAGAAGCTGGAAGTTTGGGCCAGATGCCTTCTATTGCCACGGTAGTTCTAGAATATGCTCTGGAGCTCTGCCCGGTCTTTTTTATCCTTTTAAGCAGCTGATGGGCAGTAGAGAGCAGAGTACCTGGGTCCAAATCCAGCACCACCACCCCATCAGCACCTCATTGGCCAAATAATCTCTGGCATGTTACTTATCTCTGCACCTCAGTTTCCTCATCTGTTAAATGGGAATACCAATAGCATGTGCCTCATGGAGAGGTTTGAGGTTGAAACAAGAAATGCAAAGCCCTCATAACATCACCCAAACCATGGTGACCAGTAACATGTGTGCAAGGGATGTAAATTGTTATCTTCCTCAGTCTGCACATGGACTGAGACTTGAATCGTCCACCTGTAACCCGAGGCCACCATAAAGTGAATCCACTTGATCTTTGCTTAAGTAGTCTCATATGCCAATAGGTCTTGTAGGGGTCGTTTAGGCTGGTCTGACTTCTTCCAGAAATGGAGGTGTGCCAGTTATCAAACACACATGCCTTAGAGCAGGGAAGCCCTTGTAGGGCCTGTCTGTCTCACAGGCAAGGGAACAGGGGTCCAGAGAGGAGCTAAGATCTGCCTGCAGCCACTCAGCAGGTCCAATGGAAGCTGAAAGGCCTGGCTTCCTGTCTGGGCCCCTCCTTGAAGCCCTGGACCCCTCTTTCTGACTTTCTGTCATGGGCATAGAAGTTCAGAAGTAGTGAGGACACAACAGAGAATTAAATGGATAAGCTGAGTATGGTGGCTCACTTCTATAATCCCAGCACTCAGGAGGCTGAGGCAGAAGGATCTCGAGTTTAAGATCAGCCTAGGCTACATAGTAAGACCCTACCTCAAGAGAAAAAGAGAGCGAGAGAGAGAGAGAGCGAGAGAGAGAGACAGAGAGAGAAATAATTAATGGATAGATATATACAGAGTACATAGACAAGCACCCAGCACATTGTCTAAATGTTTGGCATAATTGTAATTATTTTGGCCAGTGGTCCTTACAGAGTTTAATGAAGATTGAAAGCAATACCAAGAGTATAAGACTCATGCAAAAGAAACTAGTAAATGATATAAATGATAGCATTTTGCTAGGTTTTCAGGCAAGGCACAGAACCTTATCTTGAGAAGGCCTGGGCAGGAGCACAATGCCTGAGAAGGAGTGAAATTGGAGGCAGAGGTCGCTGGGAGGAGAGAGCCTGGCCTGGAGCTTTAGAAAGGCCCTGGAGGAGACGGGTACCCATGGTGCCCTGGCCCTGCTCAGCCTGGTACCCTTGGGCAAGTTATTGCTCTTTCCCCGACTCTGCCCTTCTGTTCTCTCATCTGTGAAATGGGGACAGTGATATTTGTTCAGCTTTTCTCACTGGGCTATGGTGGTAAGGATCAGAATGGATTACACAGGTAAAAGTGTAAATGTGCAGACTATTAGCTCTCAGATCTGTTTGTAATTATTATGCCAAATAAATTGTACTTGGGTCCTTCTACCTTTCTTCCTCTCTCAAGGACAAGTAAATGAGTAGTCTGGATACTCCAGAAAGCATCTAAGGGAAGTGGCTCTTAGAACAACAGGAGAAAAATCAGACTTTAGGAAGGACTTCTGAAAGTTAACCTGGGAGAGAGAAAGGGAGAAGAGGAACGTTCCCAGGCACCTGTGCCAGTGAGGGCCTCCTGACCCACATGAGGCTGGTCCAAGGCTGAGTGGGTGGGCAAAGGCCAAGAAGGGGTAGAGGAAGGGGCTGTGGGGGAGGAGGTCTCACAAGAAAGCTGGCTTTTGAGGACTGACATGGGAAACCATCATGGGAACCTGGCAGGTCCTCAGAGATGAGTCCTGCACCCCAGAGACTCTCAGGGCCAAGGTCTTCCTGGGGTGGTCCTGGGTCAGGTGGAGGTTTCAGAAGCCAAAAGTTTTATCACAGACCTCAACACCCACCTGTGCCACCCCTCCTTCTGGACAGAGCTATGGGCCAAGAGGGAGACAGCTCCCCTTGCAGCCAGATATTTGGGGTGGTCTGGAAGTGTCTGAACACGTTCTGCCCTGGTGTGGGCCCCTGAGGTTGTGTCGAGACTCCCAGGAGTTCTGTTTGGGGCAGGGCATGAGCAGGAGGTTGGGTGGTTTTAGGAGTATCTAGTGTGAGGTCTTCTCTGAGTTGTGAGGCTCTTCCTTGTGCTGTTGGGGCTCTGCTGATCCCAGACGCTCTTGGCTGTGTGGATTGCATCTAGGTCCCATCTGGCCTTGTCTAGATTCGATCTAAGCTGTCTGAGATCTGTCTGAGCCTGGTCTAGCCCACTCTGAGCCTGTCTGGTTTCTGTGAGGACCTATCTGCTTTCTCCCTGGGCCCTGCCGGGGCTTCCCTGTAGGTCCCCACTGGCGACCCTCCCCTCCCAGGCAGATGCCTTTTGGATCCTATCTTAATTTTGTTCAGGCTCTTGTGGCTAGATTCTATCTGTGCCTGGCCAGATTCTTTCTGGAAATTGGATGAACTCTGTTTAAATTTCCACTGGGGCCGATTAGGGCTGCAGACATAATTAAGCTTGATGGTTCTGACTTTGCCCTCACACCTCAGTCCCAAGCAGAGATGTGGAGTCAGGATGGGGAGCCTCCTGGAGCCTTCTTGTACCTTCTTCTCAGCCCTGAGTGAGCATGCAGATCTGACCTCAGAGAGGCTAGGTGGACAGTCCCACAGGGCCCCCTTCATGACCCTGGGGTGCGCTGGATGTCTGTGTGTCCATGTGTCGGCGTGCAGTTCTGTTGTGGGACTGTGTGTGGTGAACATCAACATGTCTCCGTGTAGGTGTTGGGGCCTATTTCTTTGTGCCTATGTGTCAGCTCTTCTGTCTGTGTCCCCCGTCTGTCTGTCGGTGGCGGTGGTGGTGGTGGCGGTGTGGGCGGGTAAATCCCTTTGTGTCTCTAAGCCCTGGGGGTGGAGGGCTGAGCAGCTGCAGGTTGCAACTGGGAAATCCAAGCAAGCAAGAGTAGGTGGGTGTGCAGTTTGGAAGGCACTGGATGAAAGCAAGTGAAGGAAGAAGAGTCGGCCGAGAGGGGAGCAAGGGTGGGCGGTAGGAGGAAGGCGTTGGAACAGGGGATCAAGGTGCTGCCTGCCTCCCTCATCCCACCCTCACTGGGCCTCACAGTACTTGCTCAACTTGGCTCCTGCCTCTGGCAGTAAAGTGAACTTGCATAGGGGTCATGGCTGGCTGGGTAGGGGCTGGAGGGGAAGAGAAAGGGAATAAATTGAGGCCTGAGTACATGCTGCTGGGGGGTAGTAAGAAGGTTCAGTTTCCTGGGACACCAATCCAGAACCTTCTTGGAGCCCAGAGCCAATTATTGCAATGCTGACATTTAGCTAGTTGTTAAAATATTGAAATATGTCCATAGTAGTTGGTCAATAGCAGCTGCCCTGAGTATCATCCCTTTCCAGAGAGAACCTGCACTCACAAGCCCACATCTGTCCCCAAAGGCTGCCTGTGGTTAATTCCTTCTAAAGTGTCCCTTGGACCCTTAGCTATCCTGGCCTCCAGGACTTCGTTCTGAAAGATACCCAGTGGGTATTCTGACTTTTGGTGCCCTTGCCACCCCCCTGTTTACATCCTTCCCAAGATTCCTTTTCTGAGGCCAGAGCTGTGAGTACCCATGGATGTATTATGGATAGAGGGCCAAAAGCCAGCCTTGGGGACCAGGGTAAGAACTGCTCATGGTTTGTCCTTCCTTTGCCTCCCAGGCGAAAGACAGTGATGATGAGGAAGAGGTGGTCCACGTGGACCGAGATCACTTTATGGATGAGTTCTTTGAACAGGTAATGAGTCTTCAGTGCCCCCAGACCCAGAAACTGGCCCCTCGCCAAAAGCTTCCTTTTCCCTGGGAATCCCTGTATCCCGCATCCTCGCTGGCCTTTTTCAACCCTTCTGGATTTGCCCATTCCCTGAGCCCTGATGGATTCTCCTGGACCCCCTCATCTGGCCCAACAACTTGGCTAGGTGTCACTGGTTTTCTGCTGCAGGTGGAAGAGATCCGAGGCTGCATTGAGAAACTGTCAGAGGATGTGGAGCAGGTGAAAAAACAACACAGTGCCATCCTAGCGGCCCCCAACCCAGATGAGAGTGAGTGCTGCTCTTGGGGGGCTGGAGGAGATGGGGTCCCACTCAGACTTCTCACTCAGCCTCTTTGGACTTTCCTTAGAAACCAAACAGGAGCTGGAGGACCTCACAGCAGACATCAAGAAGACGGCTAACAAGGTCCGGTCCAAGTTGAAAGGTGAGGAATGCAATCCTGCAATCAGAAAGGAAAAGACCTTTGCCCTGCATTGGATAAAACAGGCCTTTTGCAAGGAATGCCCACAGATTTCCAGGAGCCAGATTCCTAAACAGTGAGAAAGTACAAAAACCCAATTTGTCTCCTTGATCCAGATTTTTTCCCCCCAGTATTGGGAATGGAACCTGGGACCCTGTGCATGCTAGAGGAGTGTTCTGCTGAGTTACACCCGTCTTTGCTGGGTCTCGCTGTGTAGTACAGCCTTGGAACTCAAGATCCTCCTGCCTCCACCCCCTAAGTGCTGGGATTACAGGTGTACACCACCATGCCAGCTATTGATCCAGATTCTTTGGAAAAAGACACAAGACAGGGAAATGAGGCAGAGGAGGGTTTCCAGCCGACTTGCAGATGAGCTCTGCTGGTTCTGTCAGCATGAAGGTCCATCAGAAAAATACAGTCTTCCAAGTGGCTTTGGTTTTAAGTCCTCATTTGTGCTGAGCAGTCCCCCAGGCTAGCCCTGAGCACCCAGTAGGTAGGCTTAGCAGATGCTTCTGAATCGGTATGCTTAGCTCAGGACAGATTGGACCGTGTGGCTGACATCAGGGGGTGGCGAGCTTTCAGAAGGGACTTGCCAAATGCTCATGTATTCACTCTAATTTAAGGACTTGGGTGCTGGTAATAACTACCTTTCCCCAAAGCACTATGGGTTGGGAACCTCCTTGTCTGCCGGTGCCCAAGGAATAGCAGTGTTACCGGGATGCTAATTTGTGCGTTCATGTAATTTAACATTGGAAATGTTTGCCAAATACTTGCAGTGTTCGAGGCTCATTGCTAGGCTTTGGGGAAAGGGGCTTTATCAGGTGCCTGTCACTGAGACCAGTGACCTTGGTCTAGGGAGATGAGGACATCCTCCTGGACTCAAGGGAAGGCCACATGTGAGCTTTTGATGCTGACTTGTAAAAACAAGCCCTTTGCACTCAGATGAGTGTGTGAAACAGAAAATGCTCTGACTTGGAGTCACATGGGACAGAGAATCAGCTCTAGGCAAGTTTCTACCCTTAGCTTGCTTATCAGTACAGTAAGAGAAATTGAAGCAATTACAAAACTGGCATTTTTTTCCTTTTTGTGAGATCAGATCTTGGTAAAACTCCAGAGATCTTCCTGTTTCCACCTCTCAAGTAGCTGGGATTACAAGCATACACCACTGTGCCTGGTAAAACTGGCTTTTTTGTTTGTTTATTTGCTCCTTTTGCAGCAAAATCTTTTTTTTCCAAATGAAGTCTTACAAAGAACCCCAAAGTATAAAGCATAAAAGACAGATTGCGACTGGGCATGGTTATCATGCCTGTAATCCCAGTATTCAGGAAGATGAGGCATTAGGGTTAAGAGTTCTAGGCCAGCCTGGGCTATATAGCAAGATCCTGTCTCAGTTAAAAAAAAAGAAAAAAGTAAAAGCATCAGGTTGTTTGGCTGAATTAGGGTTGGGAGGCCTCACCTGTCTGGCTTTCCCTTACTCCCTGCAATAGCCCCCAAGGTTGCTTCTCAGAAAGGTTAGCAGCTAGGTGCTGCTGGTGGTTCACATCTGTAATTCTAGCTTCTTGGCAGGCTGAGATCAGAAGGATCATGGTTTGAGATCAGCCCAGGAAAACAGTTCAAGAGACCCCCATCTACAAAATAACCACAGCAAAATGGACTTGAAGTGTGGCTCAACCGGTCTCTTGCTGGCTTTGCAAGTGTGAAGTCCTGAGTTCAAACCCCAGTCCCACCAAAAAAAAAAAAAAGAAAAAAAAGAAACAAGGTTCACACTGGCATACATTTTAAAAAACCTTGGGCTCAGTGGTTTCTTTGGACCCACTGTGCTCTAAACTTGAGCACTTTCTAGACGCCCTTGAAGAGAGCTTTGTGACTTAAGGGTTCAGGAATAGGCCCAGAAGGCAGGAAAAAATGGCAGTGTTTTAAAAAGCTGTCTGTCCAAGCCAGGCATGGTGGCTCATACCTATAATCCTAGCACTCAGGAGACTGAGGCAGGACGATCACAAGTTCAAGGCCAGCCTGGGCTACACAGTGAGACCCCCACCACACACAAATAAATAAAAAATAAAATAAAGCTAACCATGCAGATCTCTAAAAAAAGAGAAAAGATCTTCATTTTCTCCATACTCTTTCAGTTGGTGGCTTGAGTGTGACCTTGAGTGAGATGTTTCACCCATTTGAACCTCAGTTTCTACATGAGCTCATATCACTCAACTTCCAGGATTGTGAAAGGTCAACAAGAAATAGTAAAAGACCCCTCCCTCCAGACTTAGCCTCAGCCCTAGGTCTGACAGGTGGGCCAGCAGATTCTGGCATCCCTAGCTGTGCCAAAGGGATTTGCTTTTCCTGCATCCTTGGGGCCAGAGCTGTCACTCAGTCACTGTGCCTGCTTTGGCTGCTAGAGGAGCCTTGAGGGTGCCATCTAGCCCCTTACCTCCCCCGCTGCCAGCAGAACAGAGAAGTGATGTTCTCAGGAATGGCCTGGAGGCCCTGCGGGGTCTGAGCAGGCCTGGTGATTCATCCTTGCTAAGTTTTCTGATCTTATGAAGTAGATCTTACCTGGAGCTCTTTTTCAGAAAATCTGAATGATAGTGTCAGGACTGCATGTTCCAGAAGCAGGAATCCCAGTTAATCTGTACACTTTTCCAGAACATCCTTCAGAAGTGGGAACTCCCAGGATAGGGATCACCTTGCAGGGCAGAGTGTTTTTCTTTGATGGCGCATCCATCTGTTTGCCCTACAATTCTTCAAGAAAAGGGTGGCCACTAGAGCCTGACCCCTGTGGAAGTGACTGCCTTCCACCAAAAACATCACAGAGTCTGAGTGTGGTAGTTCCTGCCTGTAGTCAACACTACCCCCAAGGCCGAGGTAGGAGGATCACTTGATCCCAGGAGTTCCAGGCAACATAGCAAGACTGTCTTCTTCTTCCTTCTTTTTTGGGTTTGAACTCAGGGCCTCATGCTTGCTAAGCAGGCACTCTACCACTTGAGCCACTCCACCAGCCCTGTTTTTTGTGTGTAGGGTATTTTCAAGATAGAGTCTCATGAACAGTTTGGCCCAGCTGGCTTCGAATTGTGATCCTCCTGATCTCTACCTCCTGAGTAGCTATGATTACAGTCATGAACCACTGGCACTCGGCAAGACTCTATCTTTAAAAATAAGGCCAGGGAGGTGGCTCACACCTATAATCCTAGCTACTCAGGAGATGGAGATTGAGAGGATGCATGTTTGAAGTTAGCCCAGGCAAACAGTTAGCAAGACCCTATCTAAACCAATAGCTGGGTGTAGTGGCACACACCTGTCATACCAGCCACAAGGGAAGCATAAATAGGAGGATCAAGGTGCAAGCCTGAGCAAAAAGGGCTGGGGGCGTTATCTCAAGTGGTAGAATGCCTGCCTATCAAGTGCAAGACTCAACTCAAAAACCAGTGCTGAAGAAAAGAAAAAAAAAAAAACTTGCAAGGTGTCCAGAGGCTGCAGGAAGTGGAGAGTCCCTAGGACAGGGTCCCCTCTAATTGACTGGCTCAGTTCTCCAAATAGGGTTGGGCAGGTGTCCCTTTCCAAAACCCAAGCCTTCCACCAGAACAAATAGCCAGGGGTTGGTTGGCTGTGGACTTTCTGACCCTCAGCCTTCCCTCCTACCCTTGGGACCCCTCAGACACCCGCTTGTTTATTTGCTGGCCTGTCCCTCACCGGGGATGCTCTACTGCCCACCTCTTCCCAGGCCTGGAGCCTGCCTTTGGATGTCGACCCTTCCAATACCCCAGACCCCCGCCCTACCTACACTGTCACCTGCCCCCACCCCCGCCTGTCACCGCGCTCTCTTTCTCTCGCAGCAATTGAGCAAAGCATTGAACAGGAAGAGGGGCTGAACCGTTCCTCCGCGGACCTGCGCATCCGCAAGACCCAGGTAGGAGACTCGGCCTGAACACGGGCTGCAGCGCCAGGGGAGGGGCGGGGCCAACGGAGTTCTGGGCGGGGCTTGGGGCGAGGTTACAGCGAAGAGCGGACTCTGGCCACATCTGGGGTCACCAGCAGGTGCGGGCATAGGATGGGGATGGGGATACCGCGGGACAGTGTTAGGGGGGGAGCTTGGGGTGGGGTCGCCACCCGAGTGAAGAGGGCACCGTAAACTAATTAAGCCCACTAAACCATGCGCCGCCTCCCCACCGCCTGAATCTCCGCTCCCTGACTGCCTGTGTCTGTCCTCCCCCTCCCCCCAGCACTCCACACTCTCCCGGAAATTCGTGGAGGTAATGACCGAGTATAACGCGACCCAATCCAAGTACCGGGACCGCTGCAAGGACCGAATCCAGAGGCAGCTGGAGATCAGTGCGTGTGCCCCTTGCCTCTCCAAACTCCCCGGGGCTACCCTGGCCCCTTCAGGCCCTTCCTCTCTGTGGAAGGGGCGCCTGGACTAAGTCAGGGTGGGAGGGTGGGCTCCCTGGCCTGGCCTCATCCCACCACCTCAGGCCCCCTGGCCGGGCCATCCCCTGAGCAGGAAGTCCCTTCTCCCCACAGCTGGCAGGACCACGACCAATGAAGAATTGGAAGACATGCTGGAGAGCGGGAAGCTGGCCATCTTTACAGACGACGTGAGCCCCCCTCCCCCCGGTGGAGTGCGGGGTCTGTTTGGGGGAAGCATTTGCCTGTCCTCCCCAAGTTCAGTTTGCATCTATATCCTAAATGCCCACTGGAATAGCAGACAGTGGGAAGCCTGGACCAGGAACTGGGGAATTCCATGGGGGTAGGGCAGGAAGGCACCCCCATAAAAATGGCCAACCTTGGCATGCCAGGCATTGTTCTAAGCACTTTTGGTATTTACACTTAGTTACTTGCTTATTCAGTCCTCTCTACAACTCTATGAGGAGTCCATTTCACAGATGAGGATAACAGGCCCCCCCCAAAGGTAAACTAGCCTGGTTAGGATTTGAATCCACAGTCTAGTTTTAGAATCGGAACCAAGATACACTACATGCTCCCCACCCAAAGCACACAACACTCACCATGACTCATTTGCTGACATTTTGAAGATTAAAAAAAAAAAAGTCTTAACTTGTGCTAAAGTTTTGCACACTGTCCTGCCCTGGTCGTTTTGTATGTGAATGGATGGGCTTTCCCCTAACTCAAGTTCTTTCTCTTTATGGACTTTTGCCCTGGCCTGCCCAGTCCTGTCTCTGTTTCTGCTTCTGGATAATGGTTCTAGACCAGGTTTAAAGCACTGTGGTCGTCTAATAGTTTTCAGTAAATTATTATTTGAATAATTCATCTTTGTTGAATTAACTTTAGGCAGATTCATTGTGGGCCATTTAGCCTAGAGGCACCCCCGTCCCAGCAGCTCTGCCCAAGCCCTCCTGTCTATCTATGTGAGAATGAAGGGGAGTTTGGTGGGTGGTTCCAAGGAGGCCACTTCAGTGGACAAGGACTGTTCCCTGCGCCCTGGCCCATCATCGTTACAATGGAAGCCCATTTCAATGTAAAGTGATTGGGACCTTTGTTGGAGGACTGTGGAAACTAGGTGAACCTCATGTTGTTGGGGTGATTAACACTGAGCCAAGGCAGTCTTCCTGTCATGGTGTCATTTTGCTGCACATTGAGAGAAAAGGAGCTTTTGAACATGGGTGAAAATGAACAAAGACAGGGAGAGGGGACTACTTGCCAAACAGCCATTGGATGACTTAGGCTTTTATAGGATAAACAGGTGATATATATGGCAGAAAGGGAGACTGGGCTCTGACTGCTAAAGTAAAGGTGTGCAGCCTGGAGTAATGGGGAGTCCTGGTGGTCTTTAGAGCAAAGGATTGGGCAGCAGGGGGGTGGGGTTCAAATGGTAGGGCACCTGCCTAGCAAGCATGAGACCCTGAGTTCCAACCCCAGTACCACCAAAAGAAATAAAAGAAATAGAGCAACGGATTGGCTTATTGTGATCCAAGCAGTGAGTGGGAAGTGAGTGGTCAAGTTCAGACCAGGAGTTTGTGGGGATCTGACTGTGAGGTGGAATCTCTCCCTGCAACTCTGGAGGGTTGCATGCATTTTGTTATTTATCCCTACCCCATCTTGCACAGGCTCCAGGCGCCTTTTGGGCACACTGCCTTCTCATCTGGGCCTCCTTGTTTGCTTGCTCCTTTCTCAGCTGCTGTGTCTCCTCCATCACTCTGTCTGCCTTTGACCATCTCTCTTCCCTGGCTTCCCTGGTGTGTGTGCTAGAGGAGGTCCTGGGCAAGGTGGTGGGTTCTGGACAAGTTTCATTTCTTTAAATTAACAAGCTTCCCTTTGGTGTGCCAGGCACTGTTTCAATTGATGAACACATATCAACTCTCAATTTTCACAGCAGCCCTGTGGGATGGGCACTGTTATGGTTCACATTTCTAGGTAGGGAAACCAAGCCCCAGAGAGATTAAATAATTTGCCCAAGGTTACAGTTAGTAAATGACACTTGAATTTGAACCCTAACACTCTGGCTACTGAGGCTTTTTATGGGGTTAAGGGTGATCTCAGCCTTTTCCTCCTTACCCCCATCACCCTAGATCAAAATGGACTCCCAGATGACAAAGCAAGCCCTAAATGAGATCGAGACGAGACATAATGAGATCATCAAATTGGAAACCAGCATCCGCGAGCTGCATGACATGTTTGTGGACATGGCTATGCTCGTGGAAAGCCAGGTACGAGCTCTGCCCCCCGTGGGCCCCAAGGTTCCCTCTCCCAGCTTAGCCAACTCCTGCATACGCATACCTCCTCTGTCCGCAGGGTGAGATGATTGACCGCATAGAGTACAACGTGGAACATTCCGTGGACTATGTGGAGCGAGCTGTGTCCGATACCAAGAAAGCTGTGAAATATCAGAGCAAGGCCCGGAGGGTAAGCAGGGGCAGGTGGCCCATGGGTGGGGGGAGCTCAGTGGGTGGGGCTGGGCTCAGGCCAGGGTTGAGGCGGTGAGGGTGCCTTATCTCTGGCTCTGACCTCTTCCTATTTCTGTTTTTTCTCCCCTCCTTTTCCTCACACCCTGCAACCCTGTCTCTCCCCTGTCTTTCTGTCTGTCTGTCTGTTGGTCTGTCTTCTCTTTCTACCTACAGAAGAAAATCATGATCATCATTTGCTGTGTGGTGCTGGGGGTGGTCTTGGCGTCATCCATTGGGGGGACGCTGGGCTTGTAGGCCTCCTGCCCTTATCTCTCCCATACCTTCCCCTACCACATTGGGAGCAATACCCCCACCACCCTCCCGCCCCATCCCCTGCTCCAAGCTCATCCTCAAATCAGACCCAGGCAGCCCCACCCCCACACACTCCCACAGCAGCCCCTGGAGTTCCTGGACCTCACCCTGCCATGGACCACCCCCTTCCCACCCTGCACGTAGATAGCAGCAGGCGTGATCTCACATGCACACCAACATGCATGCCGCTGGCACATGCTTGAGACGTGTGGGCACCCCAGCGTGCGTGTACACGTGCAGATGTGTGTAAACATCCAAATCACCCCTCTTGCCCCCACCTCAAGTTTGTGTGGTCTGAGCTTCCCCCTTTACCTGGGTTACTGTGTAGACTGGCCAAGTTGAACACAGCAGCCCACCATGCCCCACCCTGTCTTCTGTGAATAGGGGTGTGTGTGTGTGTGTGTGTGTGTCCACAAATACGTGGACACACAATTTGTGTACATGGAATTTTATGTTTGAGTGTTTGAACCTAACACAACAGCAATCCCTCCACCTCTCTCGTGTGCTACAAATGGGGTGGGAAGTGTGTGTACAGATGATCACATTCTCAGAGGAACCGGGGAGGACCAGGGACAGGCTGTGGCAGACCCCATGTGATGAACAAACCCTCCTGACTTGGTCACCCTGGGGGCTGCTTTGTGTCCTGGGTGTGTATGTGTGTGTGTGTGTGTGTGTGTGTGTGTGTGCGCACTGCCTGAAGTGTTGACAGATTTTCTCGTCAGATGGAGCCCTCCACATTGTGGACTGATTTTGAGTGGGCACAGATATCTGTATTTCTATGCTACCTAGAGTATGGTTGTGTGAGCGTGTGTGGGTGCCACTTGCGTATATGTAGGGGCTTTCTGCATAGTGTATTTCTGCCCCGTGTATCACACACACACATTTATCTCTATGGCCGTGTGCCCCATCCAGGTTTGTTTACCCAGATTTATTTGCCCCTTCCCTCTGTCCCCAGGGCTGCTGACCACTATCTGGTATGGCCACACACTCTGCCACATCAACATTGTGCAAGTGGAGCTTCCTGCCCTGCCAGACCTCAGGGCCTCTGAGCTCACAGACCTAGACCCTTATCTTTCTCTGTTTCTGCCCAAGGACAGGCTGGAATCTATGACAGTTGGCACACCTCAGTGTGTTTATTCGTGCGAAGGCCAAGGTGGTCCCAACGGAGGTGGCCATACCCGGGCACACAAGCGCTCATGTCTACTAACAGTGTGGTGCCTATACACTGAAATGGTGTCACCATTTCCTGGAAGGACTGCTGTAGGGATGTTATTGATAAGGCGAGATGTCAAGAGCTGCCTGTGACAGATAGTGAGGGCATCTCCTTTTCCTGCCTCCCACACACTCCCCTGGGACCTGGGAAAAGCCTTGCCCATCCCATGCTCTGAGCTCCTCAGGAAACTTGGGCTTTGGCTACTGTTGATTTCAGATATACTGGAGTGGTCAGTGTGGCAGGGCCACTCATTGTGGGCTGGGACCTGGCCCCTGGACACCTGCAGTGACCACTGCTACACCGCAGTGGGACTGAGGGTGGAACACAGGCCTGGCCTCTGATAGTGAGGAAAGGGGGGCTCTTCCCTTGTGCTGTAGACAGCATACACAGCTTGTGGGTTGTGTGGGGTAGTAGGTTGGAGGTACATGGGAGGAAGGACAATGATAGAAGTCCCCATTCCATGGCTCAGGGACACGTAGGTTGTATACACAGGTATGTGAGTGTGCCTCCCATCACGTGAAGCGTGTTTGTGTGAATGTGTGAGAGAGCACACTCCCAGGACACAGTACCCTTCTCAGCCCCACCCCAGCTCAGATAGCCAATCTCTCCTCTGCCTGGTAGTCTGGGCCCTGCCCACCCTGGCCTGTGTGTGTCAGTTGGCCACCTGTATGTAGCCCCCAGGTCAGCTTTCCTGAGGATGGGAGCCTGCTGTCCATTCCCAGAACTCCCTTCTACAGGACAGGAAGTTTGCTGGAATCTGACCACAGATCTCCTGCTCCAGCTACCAGCCCCCTTCTTCCTTCCTGCTGCCCAGCCCAGGTGTTTCCAGAAGTCACCCAGCTTTGGCATTCATAAGGAGAAGGGTGGAGTGTGACTGGCGTACTGCTCGTGCCTCAAGTGGCATTAGACCTGTAGCTACCCATCTCTGGGCCTCAGGTGGACAAGGGGTCCCTGAGGGTATGTTGTGCACCAGCTTTCTACGAGTCCCACACAGCATGTGAAGATGGGCTTGCTTGTTGGTGCCATTTGTACATGTGTCCCCGGGTGTTGTCTGGGGACTGGTATCTTTTGCATGGTCTCAGATAAGTGTGTGCTGTCTGCCCTCCATGAACCTAGAGCCATCAAACCCATGTGTGCCCCAGGGGTGGTCCAGGCCTGGCCAGGGCTCACATTTCCTTTCCTCCTTTCCCAGCCTCACAAAGCACACTGCGTGTCCATCCCATGTACCCGTGGGTCGATGCACGCTCTTGCCACGCCTTGAGCGTGTACACATGATGTGTTCTATGCATTCACCCTGCCCCCCGCCAAGCCCGCCCCGCAGAGGACAAGATGGGTGGCCCCGGCTCCCTTCTCCCTACCCACCCCCTGCCCGCTGTGCAGCCGTGTGCGTTGGCGTGTGTTTCTGTGTCGCTGGCGTGTCACGTGATGTAGCCGTGTTTGCTGACATGAGCCCCTGCCCCCTTCTCTGTTTCTCCGTTGGTTTCTAGAACTCTCTTCCTCCCCTCCCCAGAGGGGACAGGACTCCTGGGGCCTGGCTGGGGGCCCAGAGCCTGGCCACTCTCTCCTGTTAGCCCTGAGTCTCATTTCTCTCTATTGGTGACCAAGTTGCAAATGGATAAAATACAGGAAATTCTGCCCCTCCCCTAGCCCTGCATGTCCTGTCCCCAGAGTCCCCCCAACCCCACCCTGGGCCGGGTTGGGCCCTGAGGGACGGGAGAAATAGCAACCAATCCAACAGCGGGCGTGCTGTGTGCTCACTTCCTTCTGTTCCCACAGGGATGCGCCACGTGGGAAGGGGAGACACGTTGGGGAGAGGGCAGAGAAGCTGGACTGACAGATGGACATAGGCTTGGAAGACAGTTTTAATCCAGGCTTGGCTAGGTACAACATTACTGGAATATCAGGCAGAGAGCTAAAGATATTGCAGGAGCTGAATGTGGGTGGAGAGATGAAAAGTGAAAAACGCACTGCTTTCCTTGAGGGGAATTAAAAGGTAAATGTCTAAAGGTGATATGTTTTTAGAAATAATGGGACTATAATCCTTTCAGGAGGGATGAAAGTGGTGGGAGAAGCCAAAGATGGCACCTGGATGTCAGAAAATCAGCATAAGGGCCTATGGAACCTTGGCCACTCTTACTTGAGAAGCCAGAAGTGGATGGGGTAGTGAGACCATCCAGGAATTCGTTCCTTGTCAACCAGCCAGCAGGCCTGAGCTGAGAAGGAAGATGGTCCTGTCCCCAAACCCTGCCATAGATCTTAGAGGCACTGGGACCCAATCCAGACTCAAGACTTGTGGACTTAAAGTGTAGAGGGCTCCATTATTGGGCACCAGGGCCTGTAGCTCTGGGACACAGCCTTCCTTCCCCATCCAAGGTGAGAGGGCTCAGGACCAGGTTGGATGTGCTACAACAGCTGTCAGTCCCCAGCCTTACCATCATTGGGATTTTATTTTATTTTTTTGTGGTCCTGGGGTTTGAACTCAGGGTGTCCTCCTTGCTAGGCAGGCACTCTACCACTTGAGCCACTCCGCCAGCTCTTACCATCATTGGGCCAAACCCTCTGTGGCCTGCACCCAGAGAATGGTGCGTGTCCGGCTGTCCTCCCATGAGAACAGGGGTTCATAGCCAAAATGGCGCTGCGCCTTGTTAGTGCTGACGGTGAAGGTGGTGTTGGCCACGGCCAGTGTGTAGGGGTTCAGCAGGGGTGCATACAGCAGCAGAGGGCGCAGCAACCACTGCAGCAGGGCATTGAGGGTGGCCAGGAACACCAGCAGCCAGTAGGGCAATAGTGGGCGGGTGCCCACCAGCCGTAGTCCACAGGGGCCCAGAAACTCCATGTTGAAGTCCTCGTAGCTCTTATAGGGTGAGTTGTCATAGCAGAAGTACACTTGGCCGCCCATGAGTGTTGCCTGCTGCTCCAGTTTCCGGGCTACCAGCACGTGCATCCAGGCCACATTGCCTGTCAGTGAGGGAAAGGTGGATAGCCACTGGACGATATCCATATGGACATTCCTCTCCTGAGCTTGTCTATGCCCCTCTTTGGGTCCAGTTAGATGCTGCCCTATCTCACTACAGCCTGGTAAAGGCTGATTTTTCTCCTGGCCCCTGGAGCCACTTGGTCTCCAGGGTAGCCTGTTGATATTTCTCTTAGTCTTGTGTAGATGCTGCCCCTCTCCTCCAGGGGATTGCTGCTCCCATAGCTGCAATCTTCTGCTTAGCCTATGACACACTTTTTATGTCACCTTCTCAACTTGCACAGGTCCTCTCCTTTGTGGGCTATATAGATGATGTCCAATTAAGTCCACATAATCATGGTCTGCCTGAGCCAGTGTACAGATCATCTTTTCCTAGCCAGGGTACCTGCTGCCTCTCTCTGAACCCATGGGTCCTACCCACTTCCAGAGCAGGTTCTTCTTCCATTTTTTTGGTCTCTCCCTGCTGAGCCCTGACCTTACCCACGTAGACCCGGCCGTGCTCCACAGAGGCTGGGATGGCCCGGAAGAGCCGACCCCCCAGGCGCAGGCCTTGGTGGTAGAAGTCCCGCATGATCTGATGGCCTTCACCATAGATGCCCGTGGGACGCAGGGCACATGTCACCAGGTGCAGCCCCCCTCGGACCTGGTGGCAAAAGGCAGACATGACTAGGATATAGGACAAACGCTAGCCCTCTGGCTGGCCTCTTCAGGATGGGCACGAAGGAGCCAGGGGGCCAGGCTGTGCCTCTGTCTGACAGTACCCTAAGCCCCATCTTGGGGTCTCACCTTCCTTCCATTGGCCTTCAGGACCAACTGCTCAGCTAGGGCCTTGCTGCAAGGATAGGGGTGCCTGTGTACTGCCTCGTATGGGGTATCCTCATTGCCCCTAGTGGGGGAAGGAAAGACTCAATACTGAGGGAACATGGGCTTTTAAAGTAAAGGGGGTGGGCCTTGACTCACCTGTAGAAGGGGTGGCCTTTGATGTTAGGCCCTACAACTTCCATGCTGCTCGTGTAGACCAGAAACTGAGTTCCAGCCTGTACACAAGCCTCGATCACATTCTGCGTGCCTGTGGGAAGGGGCAGATCCAAGCTGTGGCTTTCTCCCTCTGCACCTTTTTCCTCCCCTCCCAGGTCCAGTGAGAACCACCACAGGCTGGAGAAGTGGGGATAGGTTGTCCCAGGAGGCCAAGGTTAAAGGGGGTGGGGAACAAACAGGCAAGATCAGGCCAAGTGTCACATGGGGGATTGGAAATAAGTAGGGAGTACCTCACCCTGTACGTTGACCTCGTGGATGGTGTCAGGACTGGCCCTCCCAAACACATCCACCAGCCCAGCTGTGTGGATGACCACATGGGCTCCAGCCACAGCTGCTGCGACCTCATGGGCCTGGGTCACATCCCCCTGGATGGCAGTCACCTGCACAGGCCCTGGTTGGGGAAGCCAGAAGTGATGTCAGCTGAGGCCATCAGCCAGCTGCTGGGTTCAGCCTACACCCTCGGGAACCACATGTTCCCAATATGACTCACTCATCCCATCCTTGTGGACTGGAGGACATAAAAACAGGCATCATCTTTTCCACCAAGGGGGGCATCCCAGAATGGGAGGGGATGAGGAAACCACACCCTCCAACCCACCACTGCCCCTTACTGTCACCTGTCTTCAGCTCCTCCAGCCAGGGACTCAAATGCAGGTCAAAGATCCGCAGTTCATGGAGCCGTGGCTCCCGTTCCAGCAGCATTCGCACCACATGCTCCCCCAGGAAGCCACAACCACCTGTGACCAGGTACACCAGCTTCGGGGCCTGTGCAGATTCTGCCATGCCCAGCTGTGGGAGGAGACCTTGGTTCACCTGAGTTGCCTGCTGCCCCAGCCCCGTTATTCCTAGAAGGAGCTGGTGGCCTGGTGGATAGGAATGCAGTGACATGGGTAGAGGAGGCAGAGCTGCTCCTGCAGGCTACAACCGTTGAGGGTGGCAGCTGTACAACCTCTGACCCTGCTGACTGCTGAGTTAAGAAGAAGAATCGGCCAGGTTGTAGGGAAGGGGTCAGGAATTGAAGTGGATGGGGAGCAGTTTGGGGTAGGAAAGGAAGGTGATGAGGCAGGGAATTGGGGGAGAAGAGGGAGGTATAGAAAGGAAGGAAAGGTCAGGATTAAGGGAAGCGCCACCTGGACCCTGGTATTACCTCTGCCTACCTGTAGCTACTGTCCCAGGGCACCCAAACTGGCCACCAGGAGAAGTTGTCTCCTGGGCTTGCCTGCCAGCAACACACCGTCTTCCTTCCGCTTGCTCCTCCTCCTCCCTCCTGGCCCATCCCAGGAACAGAGGGCAGCCCAACCTCCACCCCCTCTGCCCCCCACACTCCTGCCACAGAGTGCCCTCTTGTGGCCACTCAGTTCTCCAGAGACAGGGAAAAGATGGAGCCAGATCCTCCTGGGTGGATCTGAGGGACTTGGGGGAGTCACAGGATGGAGGCAGCAGGGTAACCTCATTCCCACTGCATGACCTCAGTCCTTTCCTCCTGCTGGATTTCCCAGGAGGCTGGAGGCCCAGCAGCAGCTGTGGTTCTGAGAAGGGAAGGGAAGCATGACCTTGGCCCAACTCTGGCTGGCCTTGGCGGGGGATTCCTGGTGTAGCTGTTAGTACGTCAGGTGGTCAGACCAAAGCAGCAACAACTGGGTCTGTGGGTCTGGGCTCTTGCCTGAAAGCCCCTCTAACCACCCCAAACTTCAGGCCGCCCATTTTCCCTCTCTTATCTCACCCACTGTGTTCTCAACCCCCATTCCAGCCTGCTCGTCCCCAAAGATACTGACCAAGCACTTTTGTACAATAAAGTTTAATCACAATTATAAAAATGTGGCGTTGGGTTTGCGCTATTATTAACATATGTACAATCCAGCCCAACAAGAAGGGCCCACCCCCCACCATCCTGGTCTGGCTGAATCGAAGCTTCCAGACACCAGGGTGGGAGGGTAACCCACAGGGTCTGGCAGGAACAGAAGATGAGGCAGGGTTCCAGGCACGGAGTCCCCAAGATGGGGGGGGGGCGCAGGGTCCCCTCAAGGGGAGAACATGGCCACTGCCCCTACAGACCCCTAAACTGGGGAGGGGTGCACACAGGGCACAAGGGGAGTCCCCATTAACACAAAGCAAGAGGGCTGTGTAGCCCCCAAGAACAGGATCTGTACAGGCCGGCACCCCAGGTTTCCACAGGAAACAGCTGCTGGCAGCTACAAAACATTTACAGCTTCTTCTCCGCAAAGAAAAAAAATTAGGGGTGGATAGGGCAGGGGCGACAGGGAAGGCAGAAGCTCCCTCAAGAGACTGAGGCTCCCTCAATTGGCTTGGGGACCTCCAACCCCACACATGGAGATGGGGTATGTGTGGGCCCTGCTGAGCCCACTAAGGCTGGGGGTGCTGGGAGCTCAGGGCACCATGGGGGAATAAATAGGGGTGTGGGCACCAGTCCTGCCCACCTCAGTTGAGGGAGCCACGGCAGCTTTCAGTGCCGCACAGACACGGGATCTTGTTGTCCTCCAGCGGGAACTTGTAGTCATAAGTGATCTCCTCGTCCACTCCGATGGGCTGCTTGGAGTAAATTACAATCTTCTTCTGCGACTCGATGGTGATCACCTTGGCGTAGCAGTTAGGCTGCAGGAGGGGCATGTGAGCCATGGCTGCCTCCCCCCACCCCCCCGCCCTGGCTCACCCAGCCCTAGCTCACCGTGCAGCAGTGGTTGATGAACCTGGCCAGGTTGCCGCACTTGGTGGCATCAATGATGGTATCGTGATCCACCCGGAACAGGTAGCTGCTGCCAATGCCCTCCTGCACATAGCGCTTCTCCCGCATGTCAGCCACCATCTGGGAGGGTGAGATGTGCAGGTGGCAACCCTGCCCCCTCAGCTTCCACATGGACCACACAGGAATCCACCAGCCCCTCCAGACAGACTGCTGGCTCCAGGATCCACACAACCAGGTCTGGACCTGCAGCCAGCCCAACTCCCACTAGCTCTCTCTCCAAATCAGACAAGGACCCCAGGGAAAACTGCACTGCTCCTCTCCTTCCCCCACAGCATCTGCCAGGTAGCTGCAGAGCCCCAGACTGCTGTGGGGCTGGGGAAGCTTCTGAAGTGACAGTGTACCTTATGAATGAAACTGTGCAGTGGCTGGCCAGTACAGTGGGGACCCCCCGCCCTTGTATGAGAAGTAGCTCTTACTTTCCCAGAAATAGTACCATGAGCCCTCTACATGCTCTCCTTGGGTGATCTCACTTCTTCCAGAGATGTAACTGCCAGCTAGGAAGTAGGGACTCCTCCCAAACCTGCCTCCAACCTCAGTGGAGTTGCTGGGTGTTACCCCTCTATGTAAGGTACACATGCACACTGGAACTCTCTTGAACACCAGTCTGTTCCTCCTGCTGCTCCTATCTCACTTGAGCCCTAACATTCTCCTAGTGGCCGATGGTGGTGCCCTGAGAAAGGGCCTCACCTCCTCCTTTGTCCTCACCCTCCATAGCCAACTCATTATTCCTACCAACTACTTTGGTCTCATAGGCCAGACCTCTTTCACCACTGCTGCCACTGACTACTCTAGGCTACCTTCATACTATCTAGATCTCTGCCATAATCCCAAACTAGTACTCTCTTCACAGTGCAGTCAGAGGGAGCTTATTTTATTTTGGTGGTACTGCGATTTGAACTCAGGACCTCACGCTTGCTAAGCAGGTGGTCTACCACTTGAGCCACTTGGCAAGCCGTATTTTGTGTTGGGTATTTTTGAGATAGGGGCTCATGAACTATTTGCCGAGGACTTTGAACCGCAATCCTCTTGATCTCTGCCTCCTGAGTAGCCAGGATTACAGGTGTGAGCTACCAGCACCTGCCCAGAGGGATCTTAATAACCTCCAAAGTCCAGATCCCCCTCTCACCTCAGGCCCATACTTATTAACATGATTCCTCACTTCAGAGGAGTATGGGCTCCACCTGTTCCTCCAGGCTCACATTACTGCTGCTAGCCCCAAGGTTTTCTGACTAGCTATTTTGACCTCCTCAGCTTCTTAAAACCAGGCTACCTCTGGGCCTCTGCAAACACTGTCCTAAAATCAGGAATACACGCCCCTCCCCTAAGCCTAAGAGTTCCCCATCATCTTTCATCCTGAATACCACCATTTCTGGGAGGTCCTTGGTCCTCATGGCATGTTGTTCCCATGGCCGGCCCCTGCCTCCCCAAACCTTCCCTCAGTAACAAATACCATTCTTTATCATTGTTACTTGTCCAATGTTCCTCCTTTCCCAAATCCTTAAAGAAAGACAGTCTCAGTCTTATTTCCTGCTGGACCACTAACATCTGGGCGTCAATGCCTATTACTGATGAAGGACGGAGGAAGGACACAGGTTTCATTGGCTAAGTTCTAGAGCTGATGGGGTGAGTGAGCCTTGTCCAGAGGGTCAAATGATATTCATGTGAAATCTGCTGTCTGACCAGTGGCTCGGGTTTGGCACGGGAGAAAGCCTCACCTGGCGGATGTTCTGGCCTACATATTCGATGACCATCTCATCAGCTGCAATGGGCTCCATGGCAAACAAACCCCACTCATGGATCCGGCTCCGGCCAAATCTAAGCTTCTTCTTCCGGAACTGGGGGCAGAAGGCAGACAGTACTGCTGGAGGCTTCTCACAAGCAGCGCCTCACCCTTCCCACAGGACTCCCAGAATGAAGGATGTCCAGGCCACCCACTCTTCCTCCATCCCTGGGACCACAGGATCCTCCCCACCAGGGGCAGCTCGCCTTGCCTTTTCATCGCACCTCCTCCTCCTCCTAGGTCCTACTCCTTACCTTGAGCTGGTTTAGCTTTAGCAGATCACTGTCCATAATGGCAGAGGTGCCAATAGCGCTCAGCAGACGCCGCTGTTCAGACCGGCGCTCCGAAAGCACACGGTTAGTCCCCTGTGAGAAGGACAGGGAGGAGATGAGTAGCAGGAGAAAGAAGAGACAATGTGCCTGATCTCAGGGCAGGGCCCCACCTGAGTGTCCACGCCTTCCAGCTGCCGGGCTGAGACGGGGCACACGTCCAGGTACTTGTCCTTCTCCTTCTTGCTGATGGGGTAATAGCCTTCACTGCGCGCTGAGCCTGTTTGGTGCTCTCGGGGCCCATCCTGGGGCCGCCGCTTGCGCTTTGGAGTGCTCAGGTTGGTGAGTGCAAGGTGTTAAGGAAGAGAAAGGTCCCTCAATGGTGAGTTCCCTAAGGCCCATTCCTATCCACCCTAGTCCCAGCCTAAGCAGAGGGTGATGTTCTGAGCTGATGAGCTCAGTACAACGGGACAGCAGGTAAGAGGAGTCAGTTCAGACCCTACTGACAGGAAAACTGAGAGGTAGAAAACAGGCATAAGGCATAGGGAAAAAGATGGTTGGGCAGCCAGAGGAGAAACCCCCAGGCTGGAGATGGCATAGCAAGTTGTACAGATAAGGAGGGAATTCAATGCAACATTACGAGTAACCTGAGGACACGCCCTGCTATTTGACCTGGGAAGGCTACCCCCACCCCCAGCCTGTATCTGGCTACCCTGAGCAGGCAGGCCAGACTCTACGATGCAGGATATTTGTGTGATGGACCCAGTGGGTGTCATTAAGCCAGTCAGCCCCACTGGTCTGCTGCAGCAGCCGCTCATAAGTGAGCCGCAGGTAGCTCATGTCTTCCAAGTCCAGGCCCGAGTTCCAAATGTCATATAAAATGGTCATCTGTTCAAACTCGCTGCGGGGCTCAAAGGAGGGGGGTGGGGGAGGAGGGGGGGGAAGCGGTGGCCGCCGGCGCCGGGTGTGGGAGCGGAGGCTGCGCCGCCGGATGGCTCCTTCCCCGTCACTGCTGCTGCTGCTGCTGCTCTCAGAAGATTCTGACTCCTCCTCTTCCTCCTCCTCCTCCTCTCCCTCCTCTGGCTGCTGTTGTAGTTGTGGCTGCTGCTTTGGCTCTTCTGCCTCAGCCACTACCACCTCAGGGGCCTCCAGGACTTCATCCGCTGGGGAGCTGAAGAGTGCAGCAGGGGCAGGAACTGGTTCTGGAGGCCGGGGGGCTGGAGTGGCAGGTGTGGGTTTGACGGCCAGGGCATAGTTGTGTTCCAGGAGGATGTGACTGAGCAGGGGACTGGAGCGCTCTGCCTCATCGGAGGTCTCCGTGGCCTCTGAGTCATCACCAGGAGGCAAGGTAACTAGCCCGCGCCGGGCTGGGGTCAGAGCCAGGTCAGCCAGTACTGCCAGGTCGACTTCTGTCCCTGGCTCAGCCTCTTCTTCTTCTGTGGGGCGGCCTCGGCCTCCAGCTCGGCTCCGACTCCCCCGGGATACCTCCTCAGGCCAACTCTTGACCAGAGATGCATGGTCCAGGGGCAGGTTGCGAATGGTCCGCTCTACACCCCGGGGGACTTTGCGAGAGATTGGGCCAGGAGACTTGGCCTGAGGCGGGACAGTTGGGGGAGGCTCTGGGGCTGGCACCTCCTCTACAGCAGAAAAGGAGACGGTTTTCCTTCGCTTCTTGGGTGGGGGTAGAAGGGGAATGGGAGAAGAAGGGCGCTCATCTGGGCGGGAAGTAGGGGCTGGAGGCCCAGCTGGGGGCTCTGAGGGAGGCTGTGGCACACTGGGAGGTGGTTCTTCAGTGGGACCTGGGGAAGGAAGCACAGTGGGAAAGGAGGAGGGTCAGCATCCAGACCCAAACTCATCAGACAGAATTACTGGATGGGTTGAGGCGGCCACATCCAGCACTCTCCCCTCAGCTTCTGCCCACAAATTCAGGTAGGTACATAGGCAGGACATGCTGCCTGCCCTCTCACCCTGTTGTCTCAGCACTGAGCTCCCTGGACGCGACGGAACACTGCACCTGAGTGTCCATCTGGTCAACAAGTACACACCAGGCCCCAGCTGTGTCAAGTATGGGTATGGGGACAACTCAGATGCTTTCAATGTCCTCATGGAGCTTTAGCCCAACAGAAGACCACCACCCAAACCAAACACACAGTCAGGTTGGGAAGATGGCAGGGGGAGCCTCCCCACAAACACGTGGTCTCCAGGCTTTTTACCAAGACTGACAGTGACAGTCAACAACTAAGCACACAAATTGAGACAATTTTTGTCAGTGTACTCTATGAAGACCCAATTAGCCAGAATAAACTAAAATACCCATTAATTCGACTACCAGCAACATTCTCTAGTTTAGACAGTTGAAAAAGATGCAATGTAAGAAGCTGAATGTACGTATTAAAAAATATTTCATAAAACTGGCCTTCTTTCCCATCCCCTTGAGAACTGGGGATCTGCCCTAATGGGGAGGGATCAGGAGAAAGTCTCCACTAACAGGCTGAGTTTGAATCTAAGAACCAAGAGATGAGGGGTGGGTCAGGGAAGAGACATGCTGCTTTTGACAGGTGCTGCTGTGTCTTCCCAGCTTGTCCCCTAGGACAGGGAGCACAGCCTTCCTACTCTCCCTCCTCTGATGCAGCTTTTAGCCCCAGTCCAAGGCCACCGCTGTTCTGAAGCCTTGCACAAACTACAAGGCTGTCACCTCTTACCTGCCAGTCTGATTTGGCTGCAGATTAACGGATGATACATGGTGTGCCTCACCCCAATGTACCCCTTTTAACTGCACTAACTCATGTACTTCTAAAATACAGTGCCCTAAAGAAGCGAGAGCTACACTAGCCCCACCTCACAGATAGGAACTGAGGCTCAGAGACAAATAACCTACCTAAGGCCACCCACCTGGCAAGTGACAGAACACCTGCACCAAGGCAGTCAGGGTTCAGTCTGTGCTCCTACCTGCTGCCCTGTGTTGCCCTGGACCCCTGGGGACTTGGTGACTTCACATTTGACTCTGCTATTCACAGTACTAAAGGGCAACCAGCACCAGGCCTGGACTGGACAGGCAGCAATCAATCTGTTCATAGCCTCAACTGACGCTCCTTGGGTTTTACCAACCAGGCCATATCCTTTTATGCTTGCACTGAATGAACTTGGTTCCTGTCACTAGATACTCAACAAACCTTTGATTAGGTTCCACTTGCCAGGAACCACACTCATTCTCTGGAGGTAGTATGAACTGCCTTTCCAACCCCTCTCCAAGGCTTCTGCCCTTGGGCCTCACAGCCTTCTAGTGACTCAAGTATCTGTCATGCCTTCTCATTCTCTGAAGACCAAGGAGCTTGCCTTAATCTTTTTTTCCTCTTCTACCTCATCCATCTACCTATCCAGGAGATTCCACTATCACACCCACTGGGTTCTCCAGTGACCTCCTTACTCATCCTCAGCCACCGTACACCACTCACATACCTGACCTTGTCAATCCCCCGAAGGGGTCCACCTTGAATTCTCACACTGAAGACTCTCTACTTTCTAAACACTATTCCCCACTGACATCGGTTTACCCCAATTCCTTTTCAATTTCCCATCCACTGATCTCCTTCTAGCCCTTCTCCCACCTCCAAAATTAACTTCTTCAATTAAAAAAAAAAGTGTGTCTGTGTGTGTGTTGAGATGGGGTCTCCTCAACATACTCCAGGCTGGCCTTGAATTTGAGACCCACCTGCCTCAGCTTTCCAAGTGCTGGAATTACAAGTGTGCACTACCCACACCTGGCTTACTTTCTTTAACCTGCCCAGTCCCTGGGACTCTCACTTGCCCCTCTCATTTCATAGTATTTCCCATTCTCTGTGTTCTCATCCTTCCTCCATTCTGTGTACACAACCAGCTGCCTTCTTTGCTCCTTCCCCCCAGGCCCTGGTTTCTAAGGGTTGCTGGTAAACCCTATCACCTTCCACCCTCGCTTTCCACACACTCCCCTCACTTTCCCAGGCAGTCTACTGTCTCTCATGCTCCTGCTGTGCAGAGCAAAAAAGGGAGGTTTCAGGTATCAAATCCAGAGCTCCTTGCCTCCCCACTCATGGACACTTCAGCATCAGATTTATGGGCCTAGCCTTGGAATGCCACTCCAGCAAGATTCCTCCTCGCCTGGTCCTTCTACCTCTCCCTCTTCCCTCCAGTATAGCAGCATGTCCAAGACTCATCCACTCTAAAAAGGTAAATCTTCCAACATCCTACATTCTCTTCCTGCTGTCTCCCCAATCTCCATTAAGTAATCTAAAACATGCTCCTGCATCTCACTAAGCCTCAAATTCCTCATCTGGAAAATGGGAGCAACAGGGAAGTTGTGAGGATTGAATGAGAGAATGTTTTCAACGTGCTGTACCTATAGCCTGACAAACAGTAAGTATTCACTAAATGTTAGTATCATCATGGCGCCTCAACTCTCTTCCTCTCAGTAAGAGTAGCCAATCCGAAAAGACTGGTTATCTTTGTCACCTCCTCTCATACCTTAACACTCCGTAACTTGGCTTCAGTCTGAACCCTGTCACCAAAGTCCTAATTGTCACATCCAACACTTTCTATCTTACAGACTCTTGTGGCCCAATGCAGACCACTCCCTCCTTTTAAATGTGTGCTTCCCTTGGCGTTCAAAACTTATCACCCCTGGTTTTCTCTTCATTCCCTTTTGGCCTCCTCACCACCTACTTCTGACAGGGCTCTCAGGCTCTGACCCATTCTCTCTTATCCCATTTGTCCTCCAAGGGTGTATACAAGTGACAAGAGAGTTCACATCTACACACTCACTGCTCATAGACATCTACCTCATTTCCAGTCTGTTCTCCCCAGGGCTTTGGATCTGTGATCCAAGAGCCAATGTCTTTACCTGGAGATTCAGAGGCATCCTAAACTCAACCCCAACAAAATCCAGCAGTTTTCTTTAGTCCTGATTCACCTTCCAGAGTCTCCTATCTTGCTAAGTAGTCTTACCAAGTCACCTATCTCCTATCCTCATCTCCACTGCCACTCCCTCACCTCATTATAACCACCCTGCTCGGTCCATGTCCTCATCTTACCTGCATCCCTTCAAACCTTCTAATGCTACCCTACATCCTTCCTCACTGCTTCCAAACTTCTCCTCTTCCTACCAGAATGGTCTTTCTGAAACACAGATGTGGCTACTGTGGCCACATCCCTCTCTTCTTCCTGCCCCACAGAGCATGGAAGGCTACTATCACTGATGCCATCTGAGTGACCTGTGGCCTCACAGGCCCTTCTGCTGCCTAAGAGACTTAGGAGAGACTATGAATCCTCCTCCTGTGGTGTCTGAACTGGAATAGCGTGCACCAGCACTAGGTTGCCTGTGGACCATCTTGGACCACAGATTCTCAGTAATGTCAGGTGGGCAGCTACCTGGGTCTCTGAAGTTTGGTTTTTTTTTTTTTTTCAGTACTGGGGTTTGAACTCAGGGCCTTCACCTTGAGCCATTCCACCAGCCCTTTCTTTCGGTGGATTTTTTTGAGATAGGGTCTCTTGAACTATTCGCCCAGGCTGGCCTCGAACTGCGATCCTCCTGATCTCTGCCTCCTGAGTAGCTAAGATTACAGGTATGAGCCATCAATACCCACCTATAAAGTATGTCTGAAACTAACAACTCCACTGAGGTATACCCTAGTTCCTGCTACACCACAGCTGGCCTACCTGACTACACAGCCTCCTAAAATTCTCCTTGCATCACTCTGGCCTCTTTCCAAGTCCCCTCTGCACTGCACCTTTCGAATCACAAATCTGATGGCTACTGCTCTCAAGATAATTCCTAACAGGCCTCCATGTTTTGCATGGGCTGGCCCTTACCTACTCCTCCAGCTTTGGTTACTAACTACCCACAACTCTCAAACTTCCAGGTTAGCTTTCTTCCAGGTCTTCCAAACCTGCTAGGGCCTTTGTACCTGCTAACCCCTTCTTTCCTGTCTGCTTGCCTGAATTTTGGCCCAACTGTGCTTCAGTAGGAGAATGTTCCCAGGTCCAAAGATGCACACAGGTTCTGAGTACACTATACTTTTCCTTTGCGGTGATTATCATGGTTTACAATCACAGATTTGCTTATGTCCAGGTTTATCTGGCCCACCTCTCCCGGTAGACCATAAGCTTTGAGGGTGAAAACTGCCTGCTGGACACACCACCATATCCTGCACCTACTACTAACCATGGTTAAGTTAAAAAAAATACCTTTTTTTTGAATGAACAGTTCCCACAGCAGAGAAATCATAGGCATGTGCTATAAAATAACAGTGGAATGTTCAAATCCACAAAGGAAAGAAAGGCACATCAAAGTTCTGAGTTAATGTTAATATTCACCTACACATATACGCTACACATTAAGAATGGACTTAAGAAAAATTAATAGGAGGAGTTTATTAAATTGGGAATTTTCTCTTTAACTTGCTTGTGAGTAAATCACCCTGTTTTACTTTAGCAATAACTAAACACCTTTGTCTGATTCTGTAAGCCACTAGACAAAGTGGTTTGAATATAAGACCATAAGTATCTCCAAGGGAAAGAGACAAGAGGGTGACCAGTGACTTTTCTTTGTATGTTTTCCCAACAAAGTCACACACACCCTTGTACATAATTACTTAACGCAGATTCCACTGTTCTCTCAGATACTAACACACATGCATACACACACATCAAGTTGCCAGCTCCAAACCACCTACCTGCAGGCCTTGCTGGAGAAGTCCCTTGCTCAGGGAGAGGCGTGACTGGGGAGCTTGCTACCCTCTCTGGTTCAGGCTCCTCCGCAGGTGCTGGGAGGGGTGCCGGGGCTTCTCTAGGGGGTGACGAAGCTGAGGGAATGATTGCTGGCTGCTCCTCTTCCTCTTCAGAGGAGGAGTCAGATGATGAAGAGGATGATGAGGACGATGAGGAGGAAGATGAGGATGACGAGGAGCTGGAGGAGCTGCTGCTCTCGGTGTCCGATGTGCTACCATTTTCACCATCTGAGTCAGCATACAGAGAACATTTGGAGGACGAATCGCTTTCCTCATCCTCGCCTGGAAATCCAGAAGGGGCAATCAGGCGAGGTGGGAAGACCCTCACTTAGTCAAGCCAAGTCATCATTCTCTGACTTGGTACTCTGGACTTAGGCTCTAGGCCAGGTGCTGGGACATCTAAGATGGCAAGAAGCTGAATAAGCAAACATCTCACAGGTGAAAAACAGCATATGAAGATCTGGGAAGCATGATGAAGGGGAGCCCTGGATTCCGCCTGGAGGAGCGAGTCAGAGAACGCCTCTCTAAGAAGATGTTGAAATCAAAGACAAGAGTCCTACCACACAGAAATGGGGGCTAAGCAGGGATGTTAAACCCAAGAAGAGAGGATATCTGGAGACTGGCAAGCAGTATGCTTGGACCACCAAGGTGGGACAAAAGACTATGAAAAACGATTGTGCAGCGAAAAAAGCTTGAAAACCACCAGGGGTGGTGGTTCCCACCTCTAATCTGGGCACTCAGGCGGCTATGGCAGGAGGATCATGAGCTCAAGGCCAACTTGGTCTACACAGTGCGTTTGAGGCCAACCTGAGTTGGCCCTCAAATCCTGTCTCAAAAATAAGACCCTGTCTCAAAAAACAAACAAACAAAACTAGACTGGGCGCAAAGGCTCACGTCTACAATCCCAGGTACTCAGGAGACTGAAGTCTGATGCCATCCTAAGCAAAAAGTTAGAGAGACCCCCAACGCAACAAACAGGCCAGGCATGGTGGCATGCCTGTCATCCTAGCTATAGGAAGACGTAGGTAAGAAGATCAAGTTCCGAGACCAGGCCTGGGGAAAAAATGTTGAGACCCTATCTGGAAAAAAACTAAAGCAAAAAAAGGGCTGAAGGACATAGCAAAAGTGGTAGAGTGGTGGCCTAGCAAGCTCAAAGGCCTGGGTTCAAACCCCAGTTCAGGAGGGAGAAGGGGGAGAAAGCTTGGAAAGCGTTACACTCTCCATACTTCTGGAAGACTGATAATATATGGGAAAGGCTCTAAGAAATCTAAGAACTCCACAGTCTCTAAGAAATGTAATTGGTAAGTGAGAATAGAAGGTGGTAGAAGCTGGGGAGTGGGCTAGAGGATGGTAAGATGGAGCTAAACTGGCAAGTAGGGGCTGAATTATAAATTGGCCTATAGTGTAAGGCTGAGGATGTCACCTTGCAGAAAATAGAAAACCAGGAAAAGACTTTATGGAGAGAAATTAAGAGTGTCAGTGTGCATTTCTGGAAAGACAGTTCCATCAGTAGTTTGGAAAAGGAATAAGAATGGAGAAGGTGGAAATGAGAGACAGAATCAGTCAAGACCGCTACAAGAACTAAATGAGAAAGGCAGGACACAAAGCAGGGTTTGAGACAAACTCAAAAAGCATACAGAAGCAAAACTGGTAGGAAGGAGCAAAGGATAGGCTGGTGTGTAACTTGGCCTCTGCTTCAGTTAAGAGGCCCCCAATCATCCTTGTTTCCATCTTAGTACTGGCACCTCACAGGCACACTTGACTACCAAATAGGTAAGTGACTTTCTCCTCAGGTCTGCCACACTACCACTCTTTACCCCATTACCAGAGCTGGCAAAGTGGCTTGAGTGGTAAGAGTACCTGCCAAGGGAGTGTGAGGCCAAGTTCAAACCCCAGTACTGCCAAAAAAATAAATAAATAAAAATGAAAATAATAATAAAGTAGGGTCTACCCCATTAACCCTATTTCATCTATTTCAAAGCCCAATAGGATTTGCACTTGTTTGTCAAATCTGTCTCCCCTCCCAACAAGTTCTTCAAAGCAGAAGCCACATTTTATCTTGATCACTGCTGTGCCCTAAGTACCTAAAATAGCACCTGCACAGAGGAGGGGTTCAATATATTTTTCTGAACGAATGAGTGAAAAGAAGACTAAGCCATGTACCCAAGACCTAAGTGGATGTGGGAAGCCAACAGGTCTCCAACTAGGTGGTAGCAGCCATGAAAGGAGCACAGCTTGTGGCGGCTGGGCCTTGAATTAAAAACAGTGTTCAAAGGCAGGAACAGGATGGCAACACCAATGGGCAGGAGGAGACTGAAGACCCCTCATCTCTCAGGCTTATGAAAACAGACTTTGCTGGGTTGTTTGCAGGTGAGAGCTGTTCTACAAGAGGGTAAGTAGGAGGGAACATTTTGAATACCAGGATTAATATTTCCAAGGGGTCAAGGGTTCCAAAGAATGTGACAAAGGCAGCTGCTACTGAGGGCAAAGTGGCCAAAAAGTTCAGCAGGAACTTATGTGGGCTCAGGAAAGTACAAGCCACATGGCTGAAACCCTTTCCTCTTCAAGCCAGAACTCTATTTAAGTGTTTGTACTCACCATCTGATGCCTCTGCCTCTTTTTTGGTGGTATCCACAGTTTCTTCTCGCTCTTCATCTTCTTCATCTTCCTCCTCCTCCTCCTCATCCTTAAGGAAAAGGACAAATGGAGACTAAGGAAAATTACAACTGGTCCTGGCCTTCAGCCCAGAGAGAAGTTGGCTATGGGAACAGGGATTCAGGATCAAGCTTCCGGCAGGGACCAAATGCCCTGGCCTCTCACCTTGTCTGAGGAAGACTCCTGGGAGGCCTCCTCCCCTTCACTGTCCAGAGCAAAGGACTTCCGGTGCTTGCCTTGGGTCTTGCCTCGCTCTTCATCTCGCTTTGGGGGTTTGGTCCCCGGACGTCCTGGTTCTCCAGCATCCTTCTCTCGTTCAGGATCTAGGCAAAGTGAGGGGCAACTGTTAAGTTGCTGTTTCCCTACCCCATGTGCAAGGAGCTTTACACACACTTCTCTGCCCACATTCCTGACAAGCCAAGCTTATAGGCAGGAAGCTGAAACTCAGTACAAAAACACAAACACCCTCACGTTTATCTAACATTTTACACAGTTTTAAAGACACCCAACCATCCCATCCATTTTATCTTTCATTCTTTTCTGTGTCAAGTGGAAGAGGGATCCAACTTGTTATGCCTGGGTAAGAAAAGAAGACTAAGGCTGATGGGTTTCCAGGGAAGCATAGCTAACCCAATAAGGAAGTTTCAAGCCATGTAAGCTGTCAACCAACAGCTGAGACTTGGACAAACTGGAAGGACGGCTGCAGGAGAGCATAGGATTACATGATAAACTTCGTAATGACTTGTGTGACTTTGAGGTTCTGTGGTTCTAAATGTTGAAGATAGGAAACCAAGGTACAGAAAAACCTAAATCAGCATATCAGAGCAAGACCACAACTAGAATCTAAGCAGAATCCCATTTCATGTTTCTGACTGCTTTTTGTTTTTGGGGTACTGGGGTTTGAACTCAGGGCCTACACCTTGAGCCACCACCAGCCCTTTTGTGATGGGTATTTTCGAGATAGGGTCTTGAGAATTATTTGCGCAGGCTGGCTTTGAACCGCAATCCTCCTGATCTCTGCCTTCTGAGTAGCTAGGATTACAGGCGTGACTCACCAACACTCAGCTTTCTGACTGCTTTATTTTCATTTTAACCTTGTACTAAGACCCCACTTGGCTCCATGCTCTCAAGACACACTGACCTCTTCGTCACTGTCTCTTCCTTTCCCATCAGAATCTAATCAGCCCATCCTTTTTGTTTTCTGCCTTGTCTCCCACTCACCATCTTCATCTTCCTCAGCTGGAGTGGAGGGCCGGGGCCTCTTTTCCTCGCTGGCCTCTGAAATTTCTGATGGCTCTTTCCGCTTTACCTGGGGGTTGGGGAAGAAATGGGGCCCATTTCAAAATCAAACACAGTTCCCAACCACCACCATTCAAGGCAGGCTCCTTCCTTTCAACACCCCACTGAGCAAAAACATACACCTGGGTACCTTGAATGAAGGCAGCCGCAGGGCCCCTCGTAGCCCTGATCCAAAGGCAAAGGCCTCAATTCCTGTGGTACCTCCACTCTTGGCCCAGTCTACGAGGGACAGCATACCCGGCTCTTTGAGCTTTGTCTTCTCTTTATCCTCTTCCTTGGCTTGCTGTTTGGCTGCATTCTGGAATGGCTACAGGCAGCAGGGGACTGAGCCCCAGAACCCAGGCATACCCTGAGACCCACCCTCAAGCCACACCAACACAGAAATGCATTCACTTGCTCATCCACTGGACACTATGTCTTTCAAACCTCTACCAGCCCCTTACAGGCATGTTTCTCAAGTCTGTTTATTTAACACATCCACTGTAAAATACAGCTATTACTTTTCCCACTTTACAAATGGTCAAACAAAAGACAAGCCCAGAAAAACTTAAGGACCTTGTCCACTCCAAACAAGCAACAGGGCCAGGACAAAGCTCTTCTGACTCTCAGGCCTCTGTCTGTCTTGCTCTATGTCTCCCTATTCTCTTGCCCAACTAGTGTGTCCCTGAGTGACCATGGCTTCACTCTCCATTTTTAGAAATCTTCTCTTTTTGAGCAGTGCAGCCTCAGAAGCTGGATGCTGACCTCATCCAGCAAAGTCCCATCCCCCAGGTACCAGTCCTTACCTTAGCCTTTTCCTCCTTGCTCTCCCACCACTGGTCAAAGGCTCCAAAGGCCACATTCTCCACCATTTTGCGGTTGAGATCTCGCTGCATGATACTTTTCATCTCTTGGACTAGAGTGGCCAGCACACGGCCCACAGTGCCAGCTGAAGGAAGGGCCTTGCCCTCTGCCAGCTCTGCTTCTTCCCTGGGAGGCAGCCGGGCCTCTTCTCCCAAGACTGAGGAAGAGGGTAGGGGCTCGGCTGCCATAGGCAAAGGCAGATGGTAGGCCTCCCGTGAGTATGTCCCACGGCCTTCTTGCCCTTGTGTATACAGAGCATAGGGCAAGCCATAGGCTGCCTCTTGGGGGGGTGGGAAAGGGAGGAAGGCCTCCCCAAAGGCCCCACCAGGAGGGCCAGCTGAGGCAGCAGTCAATCCCTTGCCCTGTCGCAGCTGGTGGAGTCGAGTTAACATCTGGGTCTGCATCTGGAAGGACATGGGCATCCCTCCCCACTGAGCTCCAAGTCGATCCATAAGTTCCAAGGAGTTCACAAAGTCATAGATGTGGGGGGGGGGTGGCGGAGGTGGGGGATACTCAGGGGGCGGTGGGCCGTCAGGGCGGGGTGGGAGGAGGTAGGCAGGTTGGTGGGGAGGATAACCAAGGGGAAGGGAAGCCAGGTAGGGAGGTGGAGGAGGGGGAGGTGGGGGAGGCGGAGGCTGCTGGGGGGGTGTTGGGGCCGGAGGTGGTGAGCCACCCCTGTCATCATCGGAGATCTCCATGTCCTCTCCAGAAGAGCATGGAGAAGCCTGTGGGGGTGCAGAGGGTGGGTGGTCACAGAAAAGCCACTGCCTGTGTTCCCTCGGCTCTTCCTCAAACTTGTTTCCTGTCTAGTCCCCTTCCTTCTCCCCAGGGTCTACCCTGCGTCCTAGACCCCAGACCACTCCCTTGGCTAACCCCAGCCTTACCTGGTTCTGTCCGTTGGCCTTGGGAGATTCCCGGGCAGCCCCTGGTTCTCCACTCCCTGTAGGTACCACATCCTCAAAACTAGCTGGGGCTGGAGGGGGTGTGCAGGGCCCATGACCTGACCCAGCAGGCACCTCACTCCCAGTGTCTCTAGCCCCAGGGCCTGCACTGCTGTTCTCTTCCTCTTCCTCTGTGTCAGAGGCCAAGAAAGAAAATTTGGAGCGCTGCTCCTTCAGCAGCATTTCAATGCGAGAATCCAGGCTGCTGTGCTGTGCAAAGGGCACACTCTCATTGGTGGTCTCTGGGGCCGGAGAGCCAGAACGGGCAGGTGAGGCTGGGCGGGGGGAGGTCCGAGCTTCTTCTCTTTCAGGGCTGGCCCCACCTCCACCTCCACCTCCACCTCCACCAGGTTCTGGAGGTTCCGGGGGCGGGGCCTCTGAGGCAGGAGGCCGGTAGTCTTGGTCAGTGGGCCGGGTGGGCTCAGGGGGCAAGTAGGTGGTGTATGAAGGTGGAAAGCGTTCAGTTGTATTTTCAGCAAAAGGGGTCCCAGGGGGCTCCTCCCGAGTTGCTCGACGTGGTGGGTAGGAAGTGTGGCGTTGGTAGCGGTTCCAGCTTTCATAATATGCTGGGTAGCTTGGGTCAGAAGCACGAAATTGTGATGTTGAGGAGGACGACGATGAAGAAGATGCGGACAATGAGGAGGAAGAGGTGGAGGATGCAGTGGTGGCTGCAGTGGTTGCTGAGATGGCTGTAGAGGCAGTTGTGGGGGCAGAAGATGCAGAGAAATGGCGGCGAGAAAAGGAATCCTGGTAGCTGTTCTCTGACCGCCGGGGCTTGAAAGAGGTTGAAGTGGTGCTGGAGAAGAAGAGGGAGAGGTAGCTAGGCTCATCTATATCTGAATAAACTTAACTATCCCCATTCTCATAATCACAGTCCCTTTACACTGCCCCCGAGAGAACTATCAGGTCCTGGTTAGTATCCCTACAGACAGTTTATTGGCTGAATCAAGAGAGACTAGGACAAGTGATTTCCAACTCTCCCTCCCTTTGAGCTTCTGCTTCTTCCCAGAATCTGACGATCAGGGGCCCCACATGGTGCACGCACTATACCTGCTGGAGTAGGCGGAATCCTGAGAGTAAGGGGTGCTGCCCCGAGATGTGTAGGGGGTTCCCTGGGAGGACTGAGGGGTGAATTGTCCAAAGGAAGATGGGGTATCTTGTCGGCTGCTGGAGAAGCTTGTGTCCTGGGAGCAGGGGGTGCCATTGCCAGGAGTGCCCACTACAGCAGTGCCTGCTGTGTAGGCAGCTGTGTCAGAAGAAGAGCGGCGGCGGGATTCAGTCTGGATGGAGAATAGGGCAAGGAGAAAGGAGAAGAGATCAGGGATCATTTAAAAACTTACCCTACCCCTAATCAAGGACCCTAATTCCATCTTTTGAAAGCATTTAGGCATCTTTTCTCAGGTCTTCCTTTACTTAATAGTAAAGTCTAGCTCTCCCAAAGACATCTCCTAGCCTTGGTAATCAAGGCACTGTGTCTACAATGGTAAAGGCTGAGGAAGCCACCAGCTTCTCACCGTATCAGTTGCTGCACCAGAGCCCTGGAACTTCTCGCTTAGGGCTTTGCCCCCAGTGGGCACAGTTTGGGGGGTATAGGAGCCATTAACAATCAATTCATAGTACTTCATTCGCTGTTGTCCTGGAGAGAGAGAAATGGAAACCAATAGACAGAAGATAAAAACTGATTTGGTAGTCCTATTTCTTTCTCAGGCCTCAAGTTTTCTACAATTTCTTGGGAGTCTTGGGTTTTGGGATTTCAGTTGGGAACTTCTACCTTATTTCTACTTCTTAACTACTACAAAGAAGAAGAAAAAATTTTCTGACACTTCCCAGCATATAAGTAATACTCCCACAAATACTACTATCCTGGAAAAATCAGTCCCCCTATTTTTCAGGCTTAAAAAAACTGACTGCAGAAAGTAAAAAAATTAATGAGCAGAACTGGAATTTAAACCTATGTTTACCTGATGCTAATCCCCCCTCGTCCCCCCAACCTCTACTATGCTCCTTTATCCTATAAACTGAAGGTTACAGCAGCCTGAAGACTAAATCCAGCCCACGTTGGATTTTATGTGCCTTCCATAATGGCTTAAAAAAAAAAAATTCAGAAAGGACGTAAAATTTTTGTTTGTTCTCATAGGACTAGAATTTGAACTCATAGGACTAGTTTTAAAAGGATGCAGTATTTCAAAAACACAGATTATGCACAAAAACCTATGATTCTGGTTTTTCTTTAAAACTCAAACTTGCTGGACTGGCAAAGTGGTTCAAGTGGTAGCACATCTGCCTTTGCAAGTGGGAGGCCTGAAGTTCAATCCCCAGTACCACCGAAAATCAATCAATCAATCAAACGGGACTATTAGTTCTCCTTCCCACCTGCTAACTGGCTGATGCCAACTAACAGCTGTCTCCTTTAGATGGCACTGTAACCTACAGTTTACCACAGATCCCACTTCTCCCTACTGCTTATTTGTGGTGGTACTGAGGTTTGAACTTAGGATCTTGCTCTTGCTAAGGAAGCCCTCTACCATTTGAGCCACACCTCCAGCCTGCCCTCCTGCTCCTTGAAAGCAGTTCAAGACTGCTTCATTTAGCTGGGCAATGGCTCATACCTGTAATCCTCACTACTGCAGAGATCAAGAAGAGGAGGATCATACATAATTTCAGGCCAACTCAGACAGAAAGTTCACAAGACCCCATCTGAGCCAATGAAAAGCTGGGCATGGTAGCACAGCTGTCATCCCAACTACTTGGGAAGCACAAATAGGAGGATCACGGTACAGGTCAGCCTGGTCCTAAATGAGATCCTATCTCAAAAATAACTAAAGCAGTGCTGAGAGTGTAGTTCAGTGGTAGAGCCCTTGCCTAGAATGTGTTGCCCTGGATTTAAGCCCCAGCACCAATCAACCAATCAATCAGGGAAATAGCTAATTAAAGCAAAGCAAAAAAGGCTGGGGGTGTGGCTCAAGTACCCTGTTAAACTCCAGTCCCTGAGTCAATGCTCAGTACAACAACAAAAACAAAAAACCTTCTTCCTTTTATTTTATTCTTTTTGGTGGTGCTAGAGATCAAACCCAGGGCCTTAAGCATGCTAGGCATACACTCTTCCACTGACCTACACCTCTAGCCCCTAATTATCTAACATTAAAAACAAAACAAAAAAAACCTGAACTATTTTAAGAATTTGACATGCAAATTTACTACTGTCCAAGTATTACCCTTCAAGCAATTTCTTTTCCTTAGATATAATCATGTACTTGACTATAGGGTGCTGCCCCAACCACACCATCAATGACACACAAAACATAATTTACATACCAAAATTCCTCTCTAACATCTGAAAAATTCTGAAATCAGAAACACATCTGGGGGACTAAAGGAGTAGCTCAAGTGGTAGAGTGCTCGCTTTGCAAGAGTGAAGCCCTGAGTTCAAGCCTCAGTCTCACAAAAAAAAAAAAAGAAAAAAAAAAAAAAGAGAGAGAAACACATTTGGTTCCAAGAGTTTCAGACAAGGAATCAAAATGCTGACCATCTCCCTGCCACCAAGAGGCACTGCATGTTCAATCTCTGCTGGAGAACAACTCTGGCCAGTAGGCAGGGGAGCCCTCACCTTTGATGTCAAGCTGGGCGTGGATGATGTTGCCCATGACGGAGGTAAGGTGGAGGTTTTTGACTGTTTCCTTGGCACCCCGAGTGCTGGTGAAGAGCACACGGGCCAGGCCCAGGTGTTTACGAGTACGAGGGTGAAGAAGGATCTCCACTTCTTCCACCTCACCATACTTTCGGCACATATCCTTCAGGAAGGTTTCCCGCACATTGTCATTCAGTCTTGCGAAAGTCACTTCCTTCAGTGGGATCTGTCCAATATAGAACTCATCCAGCTGTGGAGAGGACAGGAGTTGGTCTGGGGTCTGTATACTGACCACCATTCCTTTGCCCTTTGGGAAACTTTAGCCATATCTCTGAGGCCAAGAGAGAGTTCTCAGAGACTGCAGACCAAGAGATGAGGGTCACAACAAGGGCTACATCAGTCTTGATCTCTCTCCGAGTCCCTTTCACCACAGAATGGCAAAAACCAGGAGCAGAAATGCAAACTGAGGAATAGATATACATGGAGAGTAGTTACAGGAAAAGAATCCACTAGCTCAGCTTCTACTGACTAGTGTGGGCTGAGCACTAGAAATATAAAAATTTGGAAAGGATTCCCATTCAGAAAAGTAGACAAAACATATACACCCAATCACAATTTGACACAGTGCCAGTAGAAATGTAGACAGGGAGTCAACAGAAGGACAACTTTTTACAGAGTAGACAGGGAAGTATTCACAAAGATGGCATCATTCTTGCTGTTTTTTAGGATATGGAACTACAACAATTTGGCACTTTCAAAAAATTGCAAAGTGTATGAAGTGGATGTAACATTGGGATGTGGTATAAAGACAGAGGATACAGCTTGGCCAGTTGTGCCAATATGCCAATATGCCAAGGCTTAGCAACAAAAGTAAAATGAGAGAATAAAAGGAGAGACAAATGACAGCAGGAAGAGCATAAAATGAAGTGGGGAGGGGAAGGAAACCAGATGAAATGAATACAAGGCTCTGCATTAAAGAAATGGCAATGGAAATAGAAAGGTTAAGATAAAAAGGATGACTATGCTGGGCCCCAGTGGCTCACACCTGTAACCCTAGCTATTCGGGAAGCAGAGATCAGGATCATCACAGTTCGAAGTCAGCCTGGGCAAACAGCCTTTAAAACCATATCTCAAAAAATACCACACACACACACACATGCACACAGTTCGAAGTCAGCCTGGGCAAACAGCCTTTAAAACCATATCTCAAAAAATACCACACACACACACACACAAAGGGCTGGTGGAGTGGCTCAAGTGGGAGAGCACCTGTGTAGCAAGAGTGAGGTCCTGAGTTCAAAACCCAATACTGCCTCCCCGCCCCAAAAAGGATGACTCTGAGATTTCTGGCCTGAGCCACTGAGTAAATGGTGTTACCATTTGTCAGTAGAGAAAAGATAAAAGGGAGACCAGAATTAAGGGGATAAAGGTAATTTTAAGACTTGAGTTTGAAATGTCTGAACTGACCCTCTACTATATATCCAAGTCTGTAGTTTGAGACTGATGTTGACTGGAAACAGATATTTGAAAGTTATCAACATTTGGGTAATAGTCAAAGTTGTACATGTAAAAAGAGATAGTCCAGGGACAATATAAAAAGTAAAAAAAAGAAGCATGAGAGTACCCTACAATGTACTTAGAAGAAGAATCAGTGAAGAAAAAAATAAATTACAAAATTAGTGAAGGAAACCAAAAACTATGAATATTTAGGCTCAGTCCAAGACCTGATGAATATCCTGCTTAGACTGGGAAATGGGAATGGTCATGTGAAACAAGATGGATGAGCAAATAAGAGGTGAAGATCAGAGGACTCCAGGGAGGCAGTGGCCTTGTCACTCCTCTTAATTACTGACCAACTAGGATATCCCACTATCATGCTATATGCACTGTCTCAGAAGACACAGTGAGAGATGGCAGCTAAACCTGTCCTTACCTCATCCTTCAACAAGTAACACCCTTGCCAACAGGGATACACTTGAGACACCTCAGTTATACCAATGTACCTCCTATCCAAAACATCTCTGTCCGGCTGTGATGTAGCTCGGTGGTACAGCGCTTGCCTAGCATGCCCGAGGCCCTGGGTTCAATCCCAGCACCAAAAAAGAAAAGACAAAAAAAAAAAACCTCTCCCCAAAACATTTCTGTCCCACAAATTCAGAAGTTGTTAGATCTAAATGACAGTCTTCATCAGAGTACATGACAGAACCCATTTTATCAGGCTACATGAAGCCTAGAGCCCCAGGATCCTCCACTCCCTCCAAGGGTCACCATGCCAGGAGACCAGCAGATACCTACCTTGAACTTAGGGACTGGGAGGGAAAAGTCTCTGTTTTTAGACCTGACATGGCAACGGGGGTCTTGGAGGTCTTCGACTGGTATGTACTTTGAGTCCTAACAAGAAAAACAGAAAGAGAAAGATGGCTCAGATGACACCAGATTGTTGAGTCCTACTACAACCTGCTCATTTCGAGACCCTCATGCAACAGAGCAGGGTTCTCTGGCTAGTTTCTAAGAAGGAAATCAGAGATACTGGAGCTCCAGGCAGAGAAGAGGAAAGGGGAAAGAGGGCCACAAGAGGCTGGGCACTCACGTTGACGCTGAAGTGGACGCCGTCGTAGCGGTACACCTTTTGAGAAGGCCTGCGCAGGGCAGGGTCCAAGGCAGGATCCACGATGAGCTTGTAGTTCCGCCACTGGAAGCTCGGGGCTTTCTGCCCATCTCCCCCACCTTCCTGGTCCATCTCTGATCATTTACACTGCGAGGAAAACAGGGGTACGCAAAAGGGGTCCAGGATCCGGCCTGACTCCCCTGCCATCCCCTCATTGGCTAGCCCATCTTCCAGGTCCTCTCATCAACCCCGTGTCCACGCCTCGCCGGGGGCCCCCTCAGACTCTGCCCCAGGCGCCCTGCCTCCCCGCGGCGCCCCATCCTCGCCCCACCTCCTGACTCTGCACTCGGGGAACGGGGAGCGGGGGGGGCCGGGCGGGGGGCCGGCTCGCGCCCCTCACCTTCCCGCTCTCCCCGCGCGGCCCTGGCGCAGACCCCTCCCCCCGCCCCAGAGGCCCCGCCCCCTCCCGCCTCCTCACCGGCCAGCGGCCCGGGCCGAGCCCGGCTCCCGCTCCCGACCCCGCGCCCAGACCCTCGGCCCGAGAGGAGACACCTCTCCGGGGCGTTGGAAACACCGCGAGCCCGAGCCCGAGCCCGAGCCCCGGCTACGGTCCGACTCCGCGCGGGGGGGGCGGGGGAAGCGCGCCGCTGCCCTCTCCTCCCGCCCGGGCGCGTTCTGCGCCCCGAGGCCTTCGCGCACGCGCGCCGCAGCCCCACTCACCCGCCCGCGAAGAGCGGCTTCCCTCCCCCACCCCGCGCAGCACCTCCGCGGCGCGAGGCGGTGGCGGCGGCGGCAGCGCGACACCCGGCCCCGCAGCGGTGGCGGCGGCGGCGCCCCCCCACCACCACCTCCCCGGCGCGCGCACCAAACACCACCGCCACCTGCACGAGGCCCAGTGGGCGTCGCGTCTGCATTCGCACTTTCGCCACAGGCGCTGCTGGGAAATCCACAGGGCTGAGAGTAGCGGCCTTGCAACGGCCGGAGTCCTATAAGGCTCAGGAGGTGCGGCCCAGGGAGCCTGGAGATTGGCCGCATCCCCCGAAGAGTGGGCTTCCCTGCCACCTCCCAGCTGCTCCGGTCTTGGGCTCCTGGCGAATCTGCGGCTACGAAATCTGCGGCTCTTCCCCGAAGGAAGGGGGCGGGGCGCGGGGAGGTGGCCAACAGCGCTCTGGAGGCTTAAGCGTCGCGTTGGACAGACGCAGATTCGCGGGGCGGGTGGGGCGAGCCGGGAAGCGAGATGCGTCCCCCTTTGCGCCCCTTCCTTGTGCAGCCAGAGGTCTAAGAGGCTGCAGATTCGCCACTGTTCCTGGATTCAGCCGTCGACAAAATAACTCCCGGTTAACTCAGCCTTCTTGGCAGAATCAACTACTTTTTCTGGCTATTTCTAACTAGTACAACTCAAGGGACAGCTCACTTCCGATCTAGAGGAAAATGGCTACAGTGCAAAAATCTTTCCAGAGTCCGATGAGGACGTTCAGCCAAGGAAAGGCGCCCGAAGCACCCTGAGAAGACCTAGCGAATCTGCTGTCCCACTGTGGGCGGGGCCAAGGCGCCGCGCGCGGAGGGGCGTGGCTAGGGCGTGCGGGAGCCCGGCGTTAATGGGGGCGCTTCCTGTCGGACCCACCGAACCTCGGGCGGGCCGGGAGGTGGGAAAATACAACGAGGAGCGATGACTCAGGCAGTTTCCCTGTCCCGCACATAACGCTGAGAGCTTTTTGGGCCCTGTTCTACTTGGGCCTCTGCCCTCTGTTTTAAGAAACCCATTTGACAGATTAGGAGACTGAGGCCCGCAGGAGACTGTGCTCCGCCCACCACTAGTGGTTAAACCTGAGACCTGAAAGTTCTCTGACCGGTAAGTGGGTCCTGTCAAAAATAAAAATACATAGGCATCCTGGTCCCAGCTCCTGATTCCTTGGCTCACAGGATCTCACTGCTCCACAAACCTAATCTGGGACCCTAGGGCTAAGACTGCCCTAAGGCTGAGCACTCTTTATCCTCTGCGGGCCCAGGCATCCTGGTCTCCGGAGGAAATGCACTCCAGGCCTTTCTGCCTGAGCTGAGGATGCCCTGAGCTCCTACTTCTCTATAACAGCCCTTCACTCTATGACCTTGGGCAAGCTATTGACCTTCCTAAATTTCAGAGTCCTCCAAAACTGGATGATAATTCCTGTCACACAGGATGTACTGAAGACATCAGGCAGGAAAGGCCCTTGGAGCCTAGTTTATGCAAATTTATCAATTTAAGTAATAAGGGCAGGAAAGGGGGGGGGGTTCTCCAAGGTCCCCCAGCACAAGAATAGAAGACAAAAGATTAGGTCTGTTTAAAATTAGGAGGGAAATGAGGCTGAAAAAAATAAATACAGAGACGTAAGAGACGAGATGAGGGTCTTTTGTCCCAGTTGAAAAGTATTGATTCCTGTTTTCAATCAGAAATTCCCATGTGACAGTAAAGGCAAGCCAAGTTCGGTTTTGTGGATTACATGTATGGCTCTGGGCCACATAGCCTTCCTTGGCCTCAACTTTCCTGTCTCTGCTATGGAAATGAGACAGACTTGTCTTTTGAAGTGGTTGTGAGTGTTAAATGAGATAAGCTATGAAAAAACCCCTGGGATGTAGTGGTTATTCAAGAAAAACTCCTGTGAAATCCTCAATGGAAGAGACACAGACCTTGAGTTTAGGAATGAGAGTTAAAAGGCCTTTAGCCTTAGAGTAACTGTCTCCACATTCAGAAGCTATTGGCCCTTGTCAGTATCTAATTGGGGTCATACCTGGAACCTCTCCCCACCAGGTACACTCACCTCTACCTGGTTCTTAGGAACAAGTAGCCTTACCCAAGAAGGCCTACCCTTCACCCCATTCACAGCCACAAGGTTATCTGTGCAACAATTTATTATACAAAACAAGGTGCATCAAAAATTCAGTGTCTGAAGAACTCTGCATTCAATGGGTTGGGGACTGGACCCTTAAAACCTACCCCCTTCTGGGCGCCGTGGCTCCCACCTGTAATTCTAGCTACTCAGGAGGCAGAGATCAGAAGGATTGCGGTTCAAAGTCAGCCCAGGCAAATAGTTCAGGAGACCCTATCTCAATAAAACCCATCACAAGAAAAGGGCTGGTGGAGTGGCTCGAGGTGTAGGCTGAGTACCAACAAAAAGAAAAGAAAAGAAAAAAAAAACCTCCCTCCAATCCTTGCTAGGCATGTAGACCCCTGGTCTTCAAAGACCACCCCCTCCTCCCCGCCCCAGCCTGGGCCAAGGAGGGTGCCTAGGACAGTTGGGCAGGCATGGCCACAGGTCACAACATTGGAGGTGGAGGGGTGGGCTTGAATCTCCAAATATAGAGAGGTTCCTCCTAGGAAAGGCTGACCTTACAGCTGTTGTAGAAACACCCAAATCCCTCTGCAGCAGCTAAAGCAAGACTGTGGAACCCATGAAAATGCCAACTGTAAGACTGCATAAATCAACTGCCTTCAGGGACAGTAGTTGGGGGCACTGACCTTTCAACCTCTACATCCCGTAGAGGAGCAAGCATCTGATAGCCAGCACCAGAGGTCTTACTAGATTGCCCTGCCTCTTTCAGTGCCTCAGAATCCTTGGACTGAAGATTCCACTTGCCTCCTTGTTCCTCCCAGCCAGGCATGGAGCAGAGCTTACAAAACCCATGGACTGACAGGGGGCATCCCACAAGTGGGACTCTGTGGCCGCAGGAATCTGGCCACTTGAGAGTGGCTATAGAAAGTGGCTCCAGCCAGGGGCAGGGAATGAGGTCTGTAGGCCCCAGGGCCTTTGCAGACCAGAGGGATGCTGGGTTCACACAGCCTGCAGCTCCCCCTGCAAGCGACTCAGCTCTTCCAGCTCCTGCTTGTGCCGATCTGTCTTGTGAGCCACCAAGGAGCGGTAGAAATGCAGGGCAAAGGCCACAAACACGAGTCCCACAGGCACCATAATTGCTGTGGAGGCCATGGCTGCTTGCCAGCCAGGCCCATAGGCCCCCCCACCACATGGCTGCTGGGGTGAGCAGGCCTTGGAAGACTCAGGCTGTGAAGGGGCTACAGAAGCAGAGGATGGTGAGAGGTTGGAAGCTGGACCAAGGGAGGTGGTCACTGGTGACACCTGGGATGTAGGAACCATGGGGGCAGGTGTGCCCAGGGGGGCTCCAATGGGTACAAACTTGACCCAGCCCACCAGGACAACTTCAGCCAGGAAGAGAAAGGTACCCAAGGCAGTAGAGAAGCCCCAGGCCAGCTCCACATAGCGGTGAAGTCGCTGGTGTGGCGACTGGTGGACAGAGTTGAGGTTGTGGATATTGCTCACGGCTTCTATATGAGGCAGCAGACACGTGGAGACCATGAGTGCAAAGAGGTGCACAGCCACTAGTACGGTGGTGCAGGCACTAAAGGCCACCAGCAGGCCTGGTGGGTATTCGTGGTCGCTCTCCAGCTGTACCTCCACCATGGCCACCTGTGGGTACAAGAGGGAATGGATTGAGTGCCCATCCTTGATGGTAGAGGTGAGGATTTTTTGGCTGTCAGGACACAAGAACAGTCCCTGGCAGAAAGAAGGTTCTCACTCTTAAAAGATTCCATCCTATACTAAGTGGTAGATTCTCCACCTAGCTATCAAGAAGCCCTGGATGATATGTTTCTGAGTTTTACTTGGTTATAACCATAGGGATTAAAAAGCATAGACTTTGAGCTACTTGGATTTATTTTTGGGTCTACAGACGTGTGTTTTTTTTTTTTTTTTTTTCCTGAGATGGGGTCTCACTAAGTTGCCTGGGCTGGCCTCAAATTCACTAGCCTCTTGCCTTACCCCCCTGAGTAGCTGAGATGACAGACATCTACCACCATGCCTGACCAAGTGCATCATCTTGAGCAAGTGACTGGAAAATGGGGATCGATAATAGCACCTACCTGCTTTCTAGGGTTGTTGGGGAAGTTAAATGAAATAATGCACACTGGCCAGGTGCTGGTGGCTCACTTCTATAATCCTAGCTACTCAAGAGGCAGAGCTCAGGAGGTTGCAGTTCAAAGCCAGCCTAGGCAAATAGTTCACAAGACCCTATCTCGAAAAAACTCAATGCAAAAAAGAGCTGGTGGAGTGACTCAAGGTGTAGGCCTTACACCTCAATAATGTGCATTGAATGATAAGAATAGTACCAGGCACATAGTCAGCACTGGGCAAGTATTTACTGTCATTATTATTGTTGATCCTGAAGTCCAAGGCTAGATTTGCAAATTGGCACACTATGAACCAAAGCCGACTTGCAGACATGTTTTGGTTGGCTTATACAGTGTGCTTTTTTAAAAAAAAAAAAAAAAAGAGTGAGTTGCCAACTTTAAAACTCAAGAGGATTCATATAAATATCCTTGTTTCCAGATCCTCCTGAAAACTTGGCAGATCTGGTCACACCAAGCCCACATTCCAGCATGGCAACTGAATCATGGCTGTTCCCTTTTGGACAGGTCATGGGGTCTCTTGCTCACGTGGTAGAACGCCTGCCTAGGAAGCATGAGGCCCTGAATTCAAACCCCAGTACCACCAAAAAAAAAAAAAAAAAAAGAAAACAACAGTCATAGCAGTGGCACCTATTTCACAGAATAGTGCAAGGTGATGCACATAAAAGCCCTGAGCATAGTACCTGATGTTCAGTGACAGTTGAATACTGTCTTAGAATGTTAATGTAAGTCAGGCCACCTGGATTTCAGAATCTAGATCTTTCCCCATTTCTGGTTCCTGCAGGATCCATTAGATTGCTCTGGGGCTGAGAGAAGAAGGAAGGTATAGGAAGGCAGGTGGTGGTAGGAAGACCAGGCTGAATATTTTGGGAAATTGGGCCATGGCGGATGTCAGCAGGTGTTTTCCACAAACAGGGATCTGGGCCAGGCTTAGTCCTGGTTTCTCCCAGGGCCTGGCCCAGTCTACCCCCTTCCAGGACTGGGGTCGGTCCTGCCACCAGAACCTACACATCCAGCCTCTTGATCCTGTAGATCTTTGGCCCTTACACTGTTATTCCAGCTACCTACAAGTCCTGCAGCAAGCCAGATTGTCCCATTCGGAACAGGTTGGACCAGGGAGCTGGTCTCCCTCAGCCAGTTGCATGGGCAGTTGCCTGCTTCCATCTGTGGTCTGTGCAGATGAAGGATAGCTAACCCCCTGACCCCAGATGTCATCAAGGAAGATGGACTGCTCTGTGGATTCCCCTTAGCCCCCACCCCAATAGAACGCCACAGGCCTAGAATAACCCTCAGGGTGACAGACTTTCCCTGTCAATTGTGTTCAAACACACAGGGAGGTAAGGTCACCTGTCATGCTGACCCCCACCTCACTGCCTCTGACCTGCGCCCACACAGGAGTATATGTCCAAAGGACCCCCTCTGGCCTGCTTTCTCTTTCTTCCTTCGATGGAAGTGGAGAAACCTTGGCCTTATTTTATTCTATACCCTTCCCCTGGCAGAACCTCAGTTTCCACACCTGTCCAGCATTAGCATAGGTCTAAGCCTCCTCTGGTTTGCAGGTTCTGCTCTAACATGCCTAGGGTTCCTAATGACAAGAATCCCAACTCCCTCTGGGCAAGAGCTTGGCAGACTACAGGGGACGCACCCTCATGATCTCACAACTCCCCACGGGCAGGCAAGGGAGCAGAGACCTGTTCAGGGTCACACAGCTGGTCACAGGCAGGGAGAAGCCAGGACTTAAGTCTGTTGCCTGCACTCTGGGGTCTCCCTCGGTCCCACTTCCTGAAGCCAGTGTTGGGGACCGTTAGCTGATGTCACCCTCCCACACCTGCATTTTATCAGCCTGAGAATCACTTATCGGCTTCCTCATCTGCTTCCTTCCCCAGCAGCATCTCTTCTCAAAGTTTTCCTAGGCGATTCTCTTTGTGCCTGCTGGGTGGTGGCCCTCTTTCTTGGGATGGGCCCTCCTTCAGGGGAGAGACCCATGCAGTTTATTCTCCCTGCCCGTTGGCCGTGGGTACAACCCTCATCCAGCTCTGATCTAACCACTTCTGCCCACAACATGCACCTTTCGGACCAGTGCCCCATCATTACATATTTGTCCCATTGATTAGCTTACTCCCTTCTCCCATGACACTTTTGGGACTAGCCGTCCCCCATGGTCCTGTTTATGTTGCTAGGGTTGGTCTGTTTATACCCCTTCCCAATATAAAGGGACTTCAGTCCCTTGGGATCCTGTTTGTTTCTACCCTTTCCTCTGCCTATCTTCCTTGGAGACCCATTTACCTCACCCCGGCCCCGCGATTCCCCCACCACCACGTGCCCCGTTCCGCCCCTCACCATGGCGAAGCCTGACAGCAGGGCAGACGTGCGGCTGGAGGCCTTGAGCTTGGCCCGGCTGAGGTAGAGGCGACGCCAGCTGAGCGCCCGCAACGAGTGCTGACTGGCCCCCATGAGGTCCAGGTAGCCGCGGTGCACAAACTCTCGGTACGTGGCCGAGCCCGCGGGGCTCTCGACCTCCGGGTTCAGCGGGACCTGCTCGCCCGCGTCCCCCTCGCCGCCCTTCATCCTGCGGGCGACGGGCACCGCGCGGCGTAGGGTCACGGTGGAGCCGAGGCGCCCTGGTGGTCCCAAGAGGACCGGCCCGAGCCGGCAGGAAACCCCATCCCCGGCGGAGCTAGGGATGCGGGCGTCCAAGAGGCGGCGGCTCAGCGGGGAAGTGCAGGGACAAAACGAATGCGGGAGCCCCGGGCCGAGCGGGATAGCGGAGACCTGAGACCGAAACAGGAACTGGGGCAGAGGCGGAGCTGGGACAGCCACATGATAGGGTGGAGCCGGGACAAAGCCCCTGCAGTGCTTGGCCGTTGGGCAAAGATCCCGAGGGACCCCACACTTCCAAAAATATTCTGGCTTCCTAGCGCCACCAGTGCTAATACAGCTCCACCCTGGGACTGGGAGTTCCCGGGCCACTCTAGAGCACATCTGGATATTCCCAGGTGTCCAGACATCCAAACCTTCGTCAATAATGAACTCGGGAATTGAAAACCCACCCTTTGTTTAGGAAGCACCCAGAGGAATGGGCCCTCAGGTCACCCCTGCCCAACCCGCACTCCCCTGACGCTTCACACAAACACACGAAGTCGGCGGCCCCGGCTGGAAGATTTTGAGTTTTATAGCAAACCATATTGTACAGACCTGGGGCCCAGGGGCCCAGCCCGGCTGGGTCCCCCACCTGCCCCTCACCGGGCTGCCTCCTCCCCCTCCCCAAGCGGCCCCATCCTCAAGCCTCTTGCCATCCCCAGGACCCCCTCCCCTCCAGCCTTTGGTCCACCCAGTCCCTCCCCCCACCCTCGCACCTCCCTGTTACCTGAGGTATGTGGATAGATACCCCCCTCCCCTACATGGTACTACCCGGCTTCCCCGGAGGCCTGGGCTGGGGGGGGGGCGGGATCTGGCCCCAACTCCTCCCTCTGGCTCCCGAGGCCCCACCCATATTGGAGGTAGGGGTGAGTAAGGCCAAGGATCTGTTACTAAGTTCCCATGGCAACTGAGAGGGGCCAATTCCAGCCTTAGCACTGGCATCGGGAGGTGTCCATTGGCTGCTATTTCCATGGCAACCAGGAGTGGCAGTTCCCTGGGCAAATGGAATACAAGTTTCCATGACGATGAAAAGAGTGGGAAGAGCCAAGCTGGAGGAGTCCCATCTTCCCCATCATTGGGCTGGCACCCCCCCCCACCCCACCGCCAAAGGTCAGGAGGGGTGGGAGCTGCTCCAGACAGTAAAGCAAGAGAGCACTGGTGGTGGTGCAGTCCAAACTGGGTGCCCACCAGTCCAGCCTCAGTCCAAGCTGGTCCTGTCCCGTCACACTCCGGCTCCCCCAGGTCCGAGGTTCCCCCGGTTCAAGTAACACTTCAGTACAGATGAATGTTCAAGTATTGTGTGGAGAGGCAGGCAGGGGGCTGGGGCACCCCATACCACTCCCCTGGGCCACGAGCTTCCTGAACAGCGGGTAGGCCCGTGGCCCCCACTCCTCGCAATAGCTGCCATTTTCAGTGACTTTCAAGGAGTCAGGGTGGGGGGAAGGAACTAAAATTTGGGCAGGGGGAAAGGAGAGGGGTGACCCCTCCAAAGAGGAGGTACTACTGTCCCCACACCTGCTCTTGTCCCCCAGCCTCACTCAGCCCTGGCAGTCCCAGGCTTCTGGAGCCCCCTATCTCTGACACCTGGATCCCCAGTTGCTCCTCTGGTTTCCCTTTTTGGCCCTCCCACCCCCACCCCCAAGTATCTGATCTTCCTTCCCTGCACCCTTGGTTGGTCTGCCTTCTGCCACCCTCCCCCCACCCATCCTCCACCTCCCCCAGCCCCCTGGCTCCCAGCATCCTGTACGCAGATACCCCTTCCCATTCTCCCCCCCTCAGACTTGCACCTTAACCCCCCCTCCCACCATCCCTTTGGCTCAGCACCCCCCAGTACCTCTGACCCACTCCCCCCCAGGGGATGGACAATGAAGCAGGTGGAAGGGGGAGGAGATGGGAAGGAGAGACCCCCAGAGATATCAGTGCAGGGGTAGAGAAGAGGAAGGCTGGCTTAAGTCCCTGGGCAGGAATCCCAAGACATAAAACTCAGGAATCCCAAGTCATGAGGTGGGTAACCTGGCCTCCCTGAAGGGGGTGAAATGAAGGCCAAGGTCCAGGCTCCAGGTGAGTCCTGGGGGAGGGTGGAGGGGCGCCCAACTAGCTGTCCTTGAGAAGCAGCTTCTCCTCTGGGCAGCGGAAGGGGCCAGGGGGCCCAGCGGCTGCCAGCCGGGCACAAGCTTCAGGTGAGAGCTGGCGGCAGGAACGCAGGTCTAGGCGGCGCAGACGTGGGCAGCGGCGGAACAGCGGGAGGCAGTGGTCCGTGAGGCGGTGGCAACCTAAGGATAGGACAGTGCAGCTGAGACCAGTAGGCGAGGAGGAGGTAGGCATCAGTCATCAAATCAGTAGGCTAGCAAAACAGGCAGGGAACAGTGCTTACCAGCAAGATTGAGGTGTACCAGGGTCTCTCGGAGTGGGGATGTGGGAGCCGTGAGGAGGTGGACACTAGGGTCTCCGACGTGGGCGCAGTGGCTCAGGTCCAAGGCGCTCAGCTGAGGAGCGTGGCGCAGCAGGAGCCGCAGGGAGGCATCAGTCAACTCCAAGCCTGCCAGGCGCAGCTCTGCCACCCCCTGCAGCCGCCCACGGCTTTCCGTTTGCCCTGGGCAGGCAGAGGAGAGTCAGCACTCCTGGCCCCTCCCACCCTGCACCCAGGAACCCAGACTGCTGTCTCCCACACCTCCATTCCTCTCCATCTCTCCCACACCTGCTCCCACCACATGGGAGCCTCACTTTGCTGCCCTCCCCAGGGGGCTTGCTCTTCTCCCAACTTCTCACAAACCTGATCCCTCTTTTTCTGTCCACTGCTCCCACTGCCTCCTCAGGAAGGCCTCTCATGAGTCCTTAAAACCATAATGTCCCTCATAATCCTCCCCCTTCCCTACATGTCACCTCTTCTCATTATCTGATGTATTATACACATTTTTCCTTAGGAATCCTCCCCTCCATGAGAATATCAGTTCCATGAACACAGGAATTTTTTAAACCATTGCTCTATACCCAGCAATTGAAACAGTGGGGTGCTCAAACTATTTCCACCCATTCATCCAACATGACATCCCTCAAGGGAATACCAACCCTGGCTCTCCTCCCTCCCCCTCTCCACCACTAACGAAGTCACCTTCTGGGACTCTCCAGTACCCTTTTGGCCACCACTCGGAATCCACACCAGCCTTGCCTGAACTGCTCCCACCCCCTCACTCCCTCCAGTCTCTCTTCTTCCTGGCATCCAGAGCGCCCTTCTCAAACACAAATGAGACAAACTTCCCTCCTCCCCTAGGAACTTGAAGAAGTCCAGTCTCCTTGGTAGAACATTCCAATTCCTGTAAGGTCTCTTCTCTGTCTCAGGTCCTAAATTCTAACTCTTTCCTCACTCAGGGCACATTCCACAAGTGGTCCTCCTTCAGACACCTATGTTCAACATGCTGCCTGGCTTTCCTATCTGAGCTCCAAGGCCTCCTCTTCCCACATCTCTAGGGTGAAGAGGTTATGTCCTCATCACACCCAAAGCACATTGTCTGCTTTTCTTCCATGCCACTGGCTCTCAAACTTAAGAGACTCATTCATGTTCGCTGAGGGCTGGATTGCCGGCCCCACCTCAGAGATGGGGCAGATCAAGCCTGAGGCTCCTGTGTGGGATAATGCCACTGGGCTGGAGACTACATTTTAAAAAAACTCACAGCCCTGGGAGATAAGTCCTCTGATCATCATTCCTGTTTACAGATGAGAAAATTGAGGCTCAGATCTGTCATCTGTCATGATCACATGATTATGAAATAACTTAGCCAGGAGATACAGGCCTGGTGACAGAGTCAAAATTCTTACCACAATGCTATCTGCCTGCCATGCATCAGGCTGACCCTGAGAGAAGTTCCATCAGATATTAAAGCATCACGAGACCAGCCTCCAAAAAGGTTTTATGGCATCTACGTGGTGCTAAAGTTTTTCTCTAATGAATTGAGTAGCAGTACAAAATGGACATTTTTCTAAAGAAACTGTTGGATTGAGCATGGTGACTGCCCTTCCCACCTGACAATGATTGACAGCAGCAGGGCAGCTAGGGCCGTTCCTTAAGGTCCAACCCTAATGTGTTACCTGTGACCTGCAAGTCACCTCTGTGGACATTCAACTGAACTCTAGACCCCCTCCTCTGGTTTTTGAGTTCCTGAGATCATAGATAAGGAGGGGAAAATTTACAGATGGGCCATAGCTAAAGGCCACTAGAGGAAAGAAATCACTGCTAGCTTGTAGGGAGGGGAGCTGACATCAGGGAGGGCTTCCCTGAGGTGGTGGCATTTAGCTGGGCCTTCAAGGGCTTGAAAACGTGAATAAGGCGGGAGAGGAACACATCAGGCAAGAGGGTAACAACCCAACAGTAAAAGACCTCTACGTGCTGCTGTGAGGCCAGGAAGCAAAGAGAGGAATATGGTGTGAGGGTGTGAGGAGCACTGGGAAGGCCTCTCTTTGCAAGCTGCTGAGGAAGGACACGGACTGAAATGAGTACAGCAGGAAAGGGGCTGGCGTGCCACCAGCTGGCACTGTTTCCAATGCCTACCTTACCCTTCTGCCCATATCTTTCCAGCTCAGTCCAATTCCAGTAGAAATGTGTGAGTGCTCTGGCCTGGCTCAGCCAGTATGACTTGCAACAATCACTTAATCTCTTGTTGAGTCAGCCAGGCCTCCAGTGCCTCATACAGAAAATGGGAAGAGTCCCACTTTCTTCCTACTCCCACTCCAGGGCTGCTGTGAAAGGCACTGGGGTGGGAAGAAGGGAGCCAGGAAAGAGCTTTCAGAGTCCAGCAAGTCTCCTTTTGGAAATCTTTTCTTAGAGTAGGTCTCACCCTTCCATCCTGATTGGGTTTGCTCATTCAGTTCATTCAACAGCTACTTACTAAGCAAGCAGCAGGGTGAGGAAACAGATCTTAATCAGATCATTTCCCACCTATACAGTGACATGCCAAGAGGGGCTGTTCCCAAAGTTGAGAAGGGATCTGAGCTCAATTTAAGGAAGACCAGGGAGAGATTCCTGGAGGAAGTGGCATTTATACTAAGGCCTGAAGGATGAGAGGTCTTAGACGAAAGAAGACAGAGTATAAAGGGCAAAGAGAAGTGGGGAAAGGCCCTGAGACTGAAGAAATTTGGCAAGGAGGCTGAGGTGACTAAACAAGGGTGGCATAGATTAGTGGAAGCTGGGCCATCCAAGGCCTCAGTACTGTAGCAAAATATTGCTCTTAAGCCAAAGA